CCATGGGGTCACAAAGAGTCAGACACAACTGAAGCAACTTACATGCATGCACATGATCCCAGAGCCCAGGAATAATGATTAGGTAGTAAAAACAGGCAGGAAGGAAGAGCTGAAAAAAGGATGCATTATCAAAATGACTATGGCCAACCTATGCTGGATTCCACAGGCCTTCTAAGAGACTGCAATGAAGCCCATAAAATAAATAGAAGGGGGATTTCCTGGATGCCTAGTGGTTAGGACTTAGGACCTGCACTTCCACTGCCAGGGGCTGGGTTCGACCTATTAGGGGAACTAATCCTGCATGCCTCATGGATCAGCTGGGGAAAAAAAAACAGAGAGAATGATTTTTCAATGGGCTTTCATCTCTCATAGGCTTCCCTGGTGGCTCAGATGGTAAAGAATCTGCCTGCAATGCAGGAGACCTGGGTTTGATCCCTGGGTCAGGAAGAACCCCTGGAGAAGGGAATGGCAACCCACTGCAGTAGTCTTGCCTGGAGAATCCCATGGACAGAGAAAAGCCTATCAGGCTACAGACCATGGGGTTGCAAAGGGTTGGACATGACTGAGCAACTAACACTTTCACACTTCCATCCCTCAGAGATTTAGTGGCCCTTAGACTTTGATTACCATATGCCACTTGTATGCTGCACATATGTGGTAGTTCAGTGGGCATTCCACACCCATACTTCTCACCAGAAAATGTTCAGGAAAGGAAGCAAGAGGCTCACACCTTAGCCAGAGGTGAGGCACTTTTCAGTGGCACCTTCATGAAGCTGGTCAAAGTCAATGAGAACTGGTTGTAGAAACAGTGACTTCAGTAGAACGTAGGGCCAAGTGAATTTTAGGTGATGTACAAAGTGGTCACTGATGCACTAGAACCGCTGCAACACACAGATGCACTTTTTCTCTCTATCGACTCCAAATCTGTCACCAAGTCTCCTGCCAGAGGCTAGCCAGCCACAATTTCTGCAAGAGGGTTTGTGGAACTAGCTACAGTCCCTGCTGCCACAGTTGGTCCCCAAAGCTTGATGGTCATTATCTCTCTTCTCTACCACTGATTCTAAATTTCTCTCACCATGGCCAGTATCTCAGCTGAACTAAGGTTGTTTGCCTGGAGTGATCCAGACCTGCTTCCTCTAGATTGGATTTGCTTTGCCTTCATCAGGGCTTCCCTGGGGGCTCAGATGGTAAAGTATCTGCCTGAATACAGGAGACCAGGTTTTGATCCCTGGGTGGGGAAGTTCCTCTGGAGAAGGGAATGGCAAACCACTCCAGTATTCTTGCCCGGATAATTCCATGTACAGAGAAGCCTGGCGGGCTACAGTCCATAGGGTCACAAAGAATAAGACACAACTGAGCAACTAACAGTTTCACTTCACTTTCACTTTTCCTCAGGGCATAGTTGCTGTAAGTGCAATTCATCATGATCACCTGTCACAAAACATGAGGAGATGCATTAGTCAAGCTGTTGGATATTTTCCCCTGCCTCTATCATATGGCAGTGATTCAAACTCTTTGTGTTAATAAGGGTAGGTTACCCTTGCAGACAGGCTTCCCAGGTGGCACTAGTGGTAAAGAATCTGTCTGCTAATGTAGGAGATGCAAGAGATGTGGGTTTGATCCCTGGGTTGGGAAGATCCCCTGGAGAAGGAAACGGCCATCCATTAGAGTATTCTTGCCTGGAGAATCCTACGGACAGAGGAGCCTGGCGGGCTACAGTCCATGAAGTCGCAAAAAGTCAGACACTGAGCAAAAAATTCTCTTTTGCTTGATGATCCAGGAGTGAGGAGCCAAATTACTTAAATGAGGAGCCCAGAGTGATCAGGTGATAATTTCTGTGGAACTCTTTTACTTTGACTTCTGGTGTCCCTGATAAATAGTCATAAGGCCCTTTGTGGAAGTGTAGTGAGAATGCTTATAACCAATCTTATTACATTACACACACTTCCTCAAGGGCACTCACCCTCCCTTTGAACCCTTGGTAACTAGATCTATTGAAATTAAACATATCCAGAAATAGGGTGAAGGATCTGGATTTTCCATTGTGATAGCTGACATTAGTATTCTGTTCACAAGATCACACACACAAACATACACACACATATCAAGTAATCACTTAATCAGCTGTCCACTTAATCTCATCCCTCAAAACACCATGATTCATTAGCTATCGGCACAGATTTCTGCAGGTCAAGGCAACCTCATTGGTATGGCAGAATTCTGCCCATTTCAGTAATTACAGCCATCTTGCCTTTGACAGTTCTGTATTGCTGCTGCCACTGAGAAATCTCATAACCCCACTCACGCTGGGGAAACTAGTTCTACAGCAGCATCTCCTGTCAGAAACTCTGGCCTGTGGAGGACAGAAATCACCAAGTTCTTTTACACCAATGAATTTCTTCTTGCCTTACTGAAGGCAATGTCCTTTTGAGTCCTCCTAAGGAGCAAAGTCAGGTGCTAGGCTCTAGATATCACATAACAAAACTACTCTAACATTCTCATCTCTGTGAGCCTCCTGACATCTTCAATAATACTCTGCCAGAGCAATTTCAGCATCTCTACTTCATCTGCCTATTGGCCATTATCACATCCAGGCTTCAGGGAAACATCCTAGCAGCAAATGACTAGCACCAGGTGTTCTCACTTGCACGTTGAACTCCAAGGCATGAGTGAGTGTTCCCAAGTCCATAAATCCTTATGCAGCCTTATTTTATCCTCCTTATCAGTTCAACACTCCAAAGATCCTCTCCTTCATGTGTTCCCCTGGCTCCTTTCTAGTATGTATAATGTGGGACCTGCACTTTCTGAAAACCATTTTCTCCCAGAGCAAGGATTATATTTCCATGCTCAGATTTTGAGGCTTGACCTGAGTCACTGGCACAGAGATAGTGAACGGTGGCAGGGCTGGATCCTGAAGAGGACAAGTGTCATGTTGTGAGTTGCCTTTCTCACATGAGGGCCCTAACTCAAGATAGCCAATGAGAATGTGCCTTCATTCTCTATTGCACTTATGCTGAAGAAAATGAGGATCTCCTCAAATGCCCATAGAGGTCCTTGCCATTTATGATGTGCTTTGAATTGATTTTGGCTGACCTGAACCAGTTATTTTCTTTATTTCAAAGAATTCAAAGAAAGCAATAAAAATCCAGCCATCCTTATAATTCCCACTGCCACCATACCATTCAAGTATTACAGTAAGTATATGAGTCAACTCTCATTTTCCACCTGTACCTCTCCTCAACCAACCTCATATGAGAAACGCAGAGCTGTGTTTCAATGGTTATCACCAAACCATTTCCCATTAGCAGTGGAATCTTCAGTGCCATCTGACTGCTTGCTGACTTACCCAGCTCCTAAATACCATCCTAATGATCCCCTTTCCAGGGTTAACCGTGATCTATCCATCTTTCCTAATGTTTGCCTGAAAGCAGAACATGAGACACAGCTTTGCACGAGAGTCATCTATTAATATTGAGAAGTGGGTTGCCAAGTAACAGTAGCCATGAACAAAAAGTGACACAGAGAAGGATCGAACGCCAATACAAGAATGTGCTAACAAGTTGGCCTCTGTGGTGAACAACTGGCTCTGGATCACAGAGGACACTCTGGTCAGTCTTAACGAAATGAGTATCAATTCTGTCCAGGGTCAATAAGGAAAATCATTTGTTCATCAGCTCCAATCCCCATTGATCAAGCTTAGACCTATAGAGATTAATTTCCGCACACTTCCAAGCTTCAAGTATTGAGTGCTGAGTGGATTCCCTCAAAAGTCAGAGGAGCCCCACGGATCAGAAAGCCAGAGGTCCACACTGCAGGCTCCAGGCAGGCACACAGATGAATTACACCTGTGTATAGCTAGTGAAAGCCTGACTGGAAGTGGTCCCAGCAGCTGCAGCTAGAGTAAAAACATGAGGCCAAGAAGATCTGGGGCTAATAGGTATCTGCGAATGACTGTGAAGGAGGCCTAATTTGCAAAATGCTTCCTAATAAGGATGGGTGAGAAAGGTTCCTAGAAGAAATGAAGGCTAAATTGAAACCTAAACCCCTAAAGGATGAGTAGAGGGCAGCAAGAATTGATAAAGAGGAAACAGGTCATTTTCACAGAGAAAGTAGCTTTCTCTATCTCTCAAGGGTTGAGGGAGCTTCTAATGTCTTCTAACCACACCCTACTTCTCCTACAAGTTGTGCTTGTACAGAACTGCAATTGTCCACTCACTGTCTGTCTGCGCCACTAGATCAAAGACTCCACCCGGGCAGGGATTAGGACTGTCTTCACCCACTCAGCACTTGTTAGAAACAAAAATATGGACTTAATTGAATTGTCTTTTAGACTGTAAAGCGGTGAAGTAACCCATGTGCAGCTCCTAGCAACTTAAGTGGTCAAGAAAACAACAGCTTCTTAAAATCTCTATCATATTATTCAAATCTTTATCATAGGGCACAGTTCCTGGGATGCACACATTTGTATTACAATAAACAATTGTTGGAAGAATAGTTCAGGCAGGACACGATGAGGTCTTTAGGTCTGCCGGCATCAATGATTTCGATTGATGCTGATTTTTCTTTTTATATCCTAAATACTGTCCTCTGAAACTCCAACGTGCTTTGCTTTTATTTTTTTAGAGGAAAACATAGAAAAAATAAAGTAAAATTCAAGAAAATAATTGTAAGATGCCGCAATAGAACAGAGGCAAAGAAATAGTGGGAAACCACAGAGATGCTCTGATACACTAATAGGTAGGGCTTGGGGTGTGCGAATGTATTTTCAATTTCTTGTCCACTAGATGGTGGAACAGAGTCCCCGTCCTGAAAACGTCTCTTTCCTGAAAACAGAGTTTCATTCACAACGCGCATGCAGGGCATTGCACATGAAGGAAATCACTTAATATTTTCAAGGAAAGTTCCCTTTTGGAAGGCAGAAGGCTGAAATAACACGGGAAGAGAAGGTTTGAAAGAGATGACAAGAGGCGAGAAACGCTGAAATACTAGGACCGGGGGAGCTAAACTCCATTTCCCAGGAAGCCACGGGCGGGCTCGCCACACCGCTCACTCCTGTTCCCGCGCTCACGACGCTGTCGTACATCCACCACCCCCAGGAGCACACGGAAGGCCGCAGAGTCTCCAATGATGCAGCAGCGGCGGCGGCTCCCACCCGCCAGACCGTCCTGCTGAGCCACGACCACTCTAACCTGCGCTGGCGGAGGCGGGAAGACGCAAGCTGCAGTCCCTCCGCGCCCGCAAGCCACGTGACCAGCTTGCATCATGTGACTCCGGAGGCTGACGGCTGAAGTCCGTTACCCTGGCAACTGGCTGCGCCCACCCCCACCCCTCGGACCTTCCGGGAAAGCGCAGAATTCGGAAGCAAAGGTAGGTGAGGCGTGGATACCTGTTTCCCGCCTGGTTCGGCAGCGTCCAGACTGCTCAGACCTGCTTCTTGGGGCCTTGAGTTTTGGGTCAGTCCCCACCTCCGTCCTGACTCTTGCGAGCGCCTTTGTCTTCTCGCGGACGCCAAAGGCGCGTTTCCTGGGGCCGGGTACTCGTAGGGCGGGATCCGCCTTTGACCTAGAATTTGGGGCCAAGACCTTAACCGCCGCCACCCTGAACTGAACCGAAATGCAGAAGAGGAGGAGGACGTGTTACTGCGCAGGTTGGCCAAAGTGTTGTCCAAGTCTCCACACCTCCCGCCTCTACAAAAGGAAGCTGGGGTCGGAGCTGCTTCAAGGCGTTACAGTCCATAAGTTGGCGCAGACGCGCCGTTGGATTCATGAGGGGAGGCTGGAGAGAGTTTAGCGTTGCGCGTCACCATTGCATAGTTTTTGTTGACCTTCCCTCTTTCCGAAGGATGCTTAATTTGTTCTAATTTGTATACTCCACTTTGTTTTAGGCAGATTCTGAGTCTTAATAACTCAGTCCAAAAATTTGCATCTGGAAGCGTCCCCAGTATCAGGAACAGTGTATTTTGCAAAACTTTTAAATATGGATTGATAATTACCTGAATGATAAAACTGCACGAACTCTGCCTTTTCCTTTGCAGAAGGAAAACAGTCTTTTGAATATGCTAGTTTTTAAAAGTTTTCTTGAGAAGCCCTGGTTTAAGAGATGTTCATACATACATACATACATACATACACACACACACACACACACGCATAGATTTAAGAAATATTGTGGAGACCACTTTCTAATAATTGGATATTAAAAATGAAAATGCAATTCTGAACTCAAGTATAATGCACACTGTAAAAGCTGCTTGTTAAATCAATTTTATTAACGAATTAGGACTCTCACTCGGTTTACTGGTCAGTGATTGTACTTAGATGCGAAATCATAAGAAATGCCTGCGCAGGAGCGGGATCACTGGGTCATATGGCAGCTGTAAGGAAGGAGCAAACCGGCCAAAATGGCGGCGGCCAGGCACTCTCACCGCAGGGCCTCTGGCTCTCACCCCACGGTTTGTAAACACATGGTCATGTAAGAGCTGAGGTCACTTATGGCAGTGGGCACGCATGTAACCTGTAGAATCCCCACCTGACAGGCCCTTGCCTCTGCATTGTGGCCGGGGTATGGCTGTGTCTGCGGGCTCAACCACGGCAGAGTACCCTGTGTCAGCTGTGCCAGTCAGGAGAGACTAAATATGTCTGTGGTTCCTCGGGTTCCTCGAGTTTTCTTCCAGCTGATGGCTGGCGATTTGCCTGCCCTGGGTTCAGCAAACGGAACAGTGAGATATAGCAATACAGTAAGTTAGATGTTTGGTTCCTTATAAAGAACCGCCATACTGTTCTCTGTAGTGGCCACACCAGTTTACGTTACCACCAGTAGTTAGAGAGGGTTCTCTCTTCTTCACACCCTCTCTAGCATTTAGTGTTCGGAGACTTTCTGATGATGGCCTTTCTGACTAGTGTGAGGTGATATCTCATTATAGTTTTGATGTGCATGTCTCTAATAATTAGTGATGTTGAGCGCCTTTTCATGGACTTCTTGGCCATCTGTATGTCTTTGGAGAAATGCCTATTTAGGCCTTCTGCCCATCTTTTTAAATTTTTTTCCTTTTTATGCTGGCCTGTAAGTGAACACCTGAAACTAACACTGTTTTCTGTACATCTGAAACTCACATAACATCGTAAATTAACTATATTTCAATACAATTTTTTTTTAAAGAAATGTATGAAGTTCAAGTCTGCCTGTTTTTTTGACGTGATTACTGATTTTCTTAAAGGATGTTTATTATCTCTTGCCATTTAGTGTTTCCAATGTTGTAAATACTTCAGAATGTTTACTTTGGAAAGTGAGAAGTATTGATAATGGCCCGCTATTCCAAAGAAGAGCTGGATGAAGAGTTTGAACAGTTCATGAAAGAAGTAAGTTTCTATTTTTAGAAGCTATGTTGTAAATATATAAACACATGCATATTTATAAATAATAGCTTTCTCACCAGAAACACATTTCTTCAATTCTCTGTTTCACCTGTAAGATACAGTCAGTCATCAGGCTCTGTCACCTGTCTCCAGAGTATATCTATCATCCCTCTAGTTCTCTCCGTTTTCACTGCAGCCATCCTATTCCAGGGCGCCATTATCTCATTAGGCTACTGCAACAGCTCCTACTTCCTGTCCCAGTGTTCCTTCACCACACTGCAGCCAGCATGGTCTGTGACATAAATCAGACTCTGTTCCTCCAATGTAAAACACTATTCCTTCCCATCACATAGAGAATAAAATCCAGACTGCTTCCTGGGGCTCACAAAGCCCTAGTGCTTTTGGGTATGTCCACCTCACTGGACTTTACACCATTCCTTCCCATTTTCCAGTCATGCCTTTTTCCTCCTCCAGATATGCCAACTCAATTCATGTTAGGAACTTTGTACTACTAGCTGTTCCCTCTGCCAATACTAGGAGCTTCCCTGGTGACTGAGATGATAAAGAATTTGCCTGCCATGCAGGAGACATGGGTTCAGTCCCTGGGTGGGGAAGATCCCCTAGAGAAGGGAACGGCAACCCGCGCCAGTATTCTTGCCTGGAGAATCCCTTGGACAGAGTATCCTGGCATGCTGTATAGTCCATGGGGTCACAAGGAGTCGGACATGACTGACTCACTTTCCATTGCCAACAATGCTGTCTCATCCTCCGTTCTTTACCTGGGTGGTGAAGATCTCTTCTTAAAAATCCTACCTGAGAGGTATTTTTCCTGTTGACCCAGTAAAAGAAAAAGTAGCCATCAGGTTCCTTCTTGGTATACAATGTACTTAATTATCCATGTTGCACTTACAACCATTCATTATTTTACTTCTTTAGCTCTGTTTTCTGACTCCCATAAGAATGAATGGTCTATGACATAATGGCTGTATTTTTTTAATTGAAGTATAATTGATGTACAACATTATATTAGTTCAAATAGTGATTCTATTTTCATAGATTGTATTCCATTTAGAGTTATAAAATGCTGGCTATATTCCCTGTGCTGTATGATATATCCTTGTAGTTTGTTTTAAACACAGTAGTTTGTACCTTTTAATCCCTACCCCAACCCCTATTTTGCCCCTCCTCCTTTCTCTCTTCCCACTGGTAACACTAGTTTGTTCTCTATATCTGAGAGTCTGGTTTCTGCTTTGTTATAGTCTTTCATTTTACTTTTTTTTGGTTTCTACATGGTAGTGATAACAGTACTTGTCAACCCTGACTTATTCCACTAAGTATAATACCCTCCAGGTCCACTCATCTTGTTTCAAATGACAAAATTTTATTCTTTTTATGGTTGAGTAATATTCCACCATCAGTTCAGTTCATTCGCTCAGTCGTGTCCGACTCTTTGCGACCCCATGAACCACAGCACGCCAGGCCTCCCTGTCCATCACCAACTCCCGGAGTCCACCCAAACCCATGTCCATTGAGTCGGTGATGCCATCCACCCATCTTATCCTCTGTCGTACCCTTCTCCTACTGCCCTCAATCTTTCCCAGCATCAGGGTCTTTTCAAATGAGTCAGCTCTTCACATCAGGTGGCCAAAATATTGGAGTTTCAGCTTCAGCATCAGTCCTTCCAATGAACACCCAGGACTGATCTCCTTTAGGATGGACATATATATGTATATACCACACCTTCTTTATCCATTCATCTGTTGTTTAATACTTAAGTTGCTTCCATATCTTTGGTAGTGTAAATAATGCTGCTATGAAAAATTGGGATACGTTTATCTTTCGAATGAGTGTTTTTGTCATAGGAGATATATCCAGGAGTGGAATCACTATATTATATACTTCTGTTTTTAGTCTTTTGAGGAACCTGCATACTATTTCCATGGTGCCTGCACTAATGTACATTCCCACTAACAGTGTACGTGGATTCTCCTTGCTCTACACCATCACCAGCATTTGCTATTTGTAGCTATTCTGATAGGCTTCACAGGTGGCTCAGTGGTGAAGAATCCACCTGCCAATGCAGGAGACCTGGGTTTGTTTCCTAAGTCAGGAAGATCCCCTGGAGGAGGAAATGGCAACCCACTCCAGTATTCTTGCCGGGAGAATCCCTTGGACAGAGGAGCCTGACAGGCTTCAGGGGTTGCAAAGAGTCAGGCATGACTGAGCATGCACAGAGCCGTTCTGACAGGTGTGAGGTGACAGCTCTTGAGAGTTTTGGTTTGCGTTTCCCTGATTAGCAACGTTGAGCATCTTTTCATGTGCCTGTTAGCCATGAGTATATCTTGTGCCCATTTTTTAATCGACAGAGGAGCCCGGTGAGTTACAGTCCAGGGAATGGAGTCAGACCCGACTTAGCGACTAAACCACAGCCACGTTTTTCACCTTCTTGGTTAAGTTTATTCCTATGTATTTTTTTCTTTTTCATGTGATTTTTAACACACATAAGGACTATTTTTGTCCATTTATATCTGTTAACATTTGCTTTATATATTTGTTGTAGTTATGTCATGTCTGACTCTTTTATGACCCCCATGGCCTGTAACGCGCCAGGCTCCTCTGTCCACGGGATTTCCCAGGCAAGAATACTGGAGTGGGTTACCATTTCCCTCTCCAGGGGATCTTCCTGACCAAGGGATCAAACCCAAGTCTCTTGCATTACAGGGGGGTTCTTTACTACTGAGCCACTATATTAGGTGCATATATTTTAATGAACGTTGTATCCTCTTCTTGTGTTGATCCCTTTATCATTATGCAATGCCCTGGGTCTTTGTTACAGACTTTGTTATAAAGTCTATTTTGTCTGATATAAGTATTACTACCCCTGTGTTCTCGTTGTTTCTATTTGTGTGAAATAACTTCTTGCAAACTCTCACTTTGTTTTTGTGTGTCTTTATTTCTGAAGTGAGTCTCTTCTATTTTGGTTGATGTTGTTCAGTCAGCCACCCTCTGTCTTCTGGAGCATTTAGTCCATTGACATTTCAAGCAATAGATTTGGTCTTATTGCCATTTTATTGCTCATTTTGGGTTTTGCACTACTTGTCTGTTTTTTTCTCCTTTACGTTTCTTCCTTGTGGTTGATGATTTTCTTTAGTCATATGCTTGTGTTCCTTTCTCTGTAGTATTTGTGTATCCATTGTAAGTTCAAACACATTCTAAAAGATCTGTATTTTTTCCTCCCCTCTCCAATATTTTGTGTTCTTGTGTTTTGTGTCATATTTTATCCCTTACCTGTTTATTGTAGTTATGTTGATGATACAATTTTTCTTTTCAGTCTTTGTGATAATTTATAAGTGGTTGGTTCACAGCCTTTATTATATATTTGTCTTAATTAGATTTTTCCTTTCCTATACGTGCTTGCTTCTTATAGCATTTTCTTCTCCACTGAGAGAAGACTCTTCAACATTTCTTTTAGGATCAGTTTAGTATTGATGAACTCTTCTAGTCTTTGCTTGTCTGAGAAGTTCTTCATCTGTTCTTTAGTTCCAAATGATAATCCTGCTGGGTAGAGTATCCTAGGTTTTAGTTTTTTACTTTTTAGCATTTTATATATATCATGTCTTTCTCTTCTGGCCTGCAGGGTTTCTGCAGAAAAATCATCTGATCGCTGGGTGAGGGGAGAGGTGGTGGTTTGCTTGTATCTGAGCCTTTGTTGTTCTATTGTTGCCTTTTAGAATAATCTCTTCCACTTCTAACATTTTAATAACTCTTCAGCTACGATATGTCTTGGTGAGGGTCTGTCTGGATTCATTTTGTTCAGGACTCTCCACGCCTCCTGTACCTGGATATCTGTTTACTTCTTCAGGTTCAGGAAGTTTTCAGCCATAATTTCATCAAATAGATTTTCAACTCCTTTCTCTCTGACTTCTCCACCTGGGACCCCTATAATATGAATATTGGTATAGTTGATGACGTCTCAGAGGTCCCTTAAATTGTTTGCATTTTTAAAAGTTGCTTTTCTTTTTCCTGTTTGATTATTCTGTCCTCTAAATTCTGCTGTTAATTCGTTCTAGTGTGTTTTTCATTATAGTTGCATTCTTCAGATCTGATTGGTTCTTTTATATTTTCTACTTTTTTGTCAAAATTCTGTGTTCCTCTATTCCTTTTTCTAATTTAATTAACATTCTCATTACTAATGCTTTGAACTCTTACTGGTAAATTGTTTATCTCTGATTAGTTTTTGTTCTTTCGTTTGAAGCAAATTCCTCTCTGTTCTCATTCTGCGTAACCTTCTCCATCTCTATGAGATTAGGTGAAGCAGTCACCTGTCCCGTCTTGAAGGGGTGTCTCTTTGTGGGAGCGTCTCTATACAGTCTGTGTACCCTGTGGCCTTGATGGGAGAGCTGGATCTGACATACGCAGGAGTCCTGTCTTTCTCCAGGTTGTGCTGACAGCTATCATTTTTGTAGGCAATGGGACTAGAGATGAAGGTGTTCCAGCCAGAGCCAGGTGTCAGCCAGGGCTGCTTCTCTGCCCAGTGACAGACACCACCTTATGAGGGTGGGAGCAGGTCCCGAGTTGCTGGGGCAGAAACCCTGGGGGTCGGGTCCCAGCTGGCTCTGTTCCCTGTGTGAACACTTGCCTCTCCAGCGTTGCCGTCTTTCCCCAGAGAGGAGCAGAACTGGAGCAGGCGGGGCTGGAGTAGGGCACTGGCTGTTTCCAGAGTGGTTACCGGATGGCAGCCACTGTTCCTGCAGTGTCAATCTGCTTCCTCCACCTTGTTGCAGGAGTAAGCAAGTGTGTGCACACTCCTCAAGAGCAGAGTTTGGGTTTCTCACAGCCGTGCCTTCACTGGCTTTCTAACCAGCTAAGGGGACTCATGTTCCCAGTGTCAGAGCCCAGGGCTGGTTCCCCAAACGTGTAGTTCTAGGCACTTACTCCCCAGGGTGGGTCTCTGAGCCTTTGAATCCGCTTCCTTTTCTGTATCCCTTCCCTGGAGAACAGGTCCTGACCTGATCTCTTCTCTTCCTACCCAGGTTCATATGGCTCTTCTTATAGCTCCTGCCACTTAACACTTTCAGGGCTCATCTACATTGTCATATCTGTTAGTGCCTCATGCCTCGTTTATAGCTGAATAATACTGCATTGTGTGGATTCACCACATTTTGTTTACCTACTTATCAATTGATGGACATTTGAGTTCTTTATACTTTTTGGCAATTATCAATAATGCTGCTATGACAATTGTGTATAATTTTTGTGGGCATATGTTTTCATTTCTCTTGTGTATATACCAGAGGGTGGGAAATGCTGGGTCATGTGGTTTAACCTCAACATTTAACCTTTTGAGGAACTGCCAGACTGTTTTCTAGGTGGCTGCACCATTTTACTCTCATCAGCACTTCATTAGTAGTTTTAGGCTTCCAGTTTCCCCATATCCTCATCAGCACTGTTGTTAACTGGGGAACCAGCTTTTTTGTTTTGTTTTTTATGATCGTAACCAGAAAGCAATGTGGAAGATTGTCGAAAGTGAGAATACCTTCTGTGGATTAGACAGTGCCTGCCCGGGCATTCTCCATTTCTTTTATGATCTTTGCCACAACCCTGCAAGGTCGGTGTTACCTGGCCCGTTTTCTAGATGTATAAACAAAACTTACTTATTTTGAAGTTAAAATTTGAACTCAGATCCCTCTGGCTCCAAAAACCTGCAGTCCTTTCATGCTCTTACATAGCCATGAATTTAGGAGGAAAAGACTGAGGCAGGTTATCAGAGTTGGGTAAACAGGGAGAGACAGAAAGAGAGAAATGGAACATTTCAGGGTGACAGTGAAGTTTAAGGGTGAGTGGAAAGTGATTCAATGAAAATTCAGATGGAGTAAAGAATACTCTTTCTTTCCTTCTCCCCCCTCTTCCTCCCTGGTGGTCAGGAAAGACAATGAGTTCTTTTTGAACATTTTTAAATGGTGTTCTTACAAGTCCTTCGAGTAGAGTTGTTTGCTTGGCAGGTGGAAATGTGTGTGTAATCATCTCAAAAGTTTAGAAAGTCCTTGCATTGCCCTGGTTGGGGGCCCATACAGTGTTTTGAAAGTGGACAGGTGTCAGTCAGGGAAAGCCAGTTTTGAACCCCAGCCCTGTTATCACTGACGGTAGCAACCTGGGAAAGTTGTGTAACTTCTCTGCGTTTACTGCCCTGTCAGCAAATCTCTGCTGGATTGTTTGAAGAGTGAGGTAGCCTGGGTATAGGTCCTGACATAGAGCAGGCCAGTCATTAATTAATGTTAGTTTCTTCTCCAGAAAAAGTGTGTTAAAAGTGAGGGTAAAAAGGACCCAGAGCTGAGTTCTGGGTCAGTTTGGTATTAACAAAAGAGCAGAAGAGCCAAGAGCTAGCAGAGTTGGTTAGGAAAGGTCACAGAGATGAGGTGTAGCCTGGAGGAGGTGGTCTGAACGCGAAGAGGGTTCCAGGAAGTGAGAGTTGGGCACTGTGTCAAGTCCTGTGGTCTGTCAGGGGGACAGCTGACGGTGGCTCTTTATCTGTGGATTTTGGAGGCCTTTGGTGACTGAGGAGAGTTGTTTTGGATGGGTACCAGATTTTAAGGAGTTTAGCAATGACCTTGAGAGGTTAGACTATATATAAAAAAAAGTGATGGGTAGAGTGAAAGGGAGATGTAGGACTAAGGACCTCTGCCCCTTTCTTTTGTTTGTTTTTGTTTGCTTTTTAATTTGTTGTTTAGTCTGACTCTTTTGTGATCCCGTGTACTGTAGCCTGCCAGGCTCCTTTGTCCAGGGAATTTTCCAGGCTTGAATACTGAAATGGGTTGCCATTTCCTTCTTCAGGGGATCTTCCCGACCCAGGGATCAAACCCACGTCTCTTGTATTGGCAGGGGGATTCTTTACCGCTGAACCACCTGGGAAGCCCTTTTCTAATTAGAGGAGACTTGAGTGTTCATTCTTTTATCCTACGATTATGCCAGGTGCTGTGCTTGGCCCTGGGGATGCAGCAGTGAGCAGGTTTAGTAACCTCAGGGAAGGAGGGATGGGAGGTTGGGGAGGGAGTGAGATGGAGATGCAGTAGGATCACCTGGTAAGAACCTGGTGAGGAGGGAAGTGGGCCCCTCCGCAGGTTCTCCTTGGAGTGGAGGAAAGGATTTCTCTTCTGAGAGAGGAAATCAGTATCTTAACAGGTGAGTTGAGTGCTAGAGTGGAGGGAGTGAGAAGAAAGGTGGTTTTGACTGTAGGGTCTTCATTTTCTCAGAGGGAGATACTGGCTGAGAGTAAGGGAGGTAGATTGGATTTAGAGTAGGAGTTTGTGATTGTAGTAAGATTTGGACCTAAAGGGTAGAAAAGGAGAAATAAAATTTTTTCACTAAGTTTATTAATCATTGTGACAAACACTAATTGTCAAGATCTAAGAGAAACATTTTCAGTGATGAATCTGGGATTCAGTAGCTTATATCTGATTTAGCTTTCAGATGATTCTTTTGAAAATTCAAATAAAACACCTGGACAATCTAAAGAAGCGAAGAAGAAAGATACAGTGCCATGGTGGATAACTGAAGATGAATTTGAAAGTGGTGGTAAATACTGCTAATTTTAAATTGTTTGACCACAAGGGGGCAGACAAGACTTTTGATTCTGGATTTTCTTACTGTGCTGTTTAGGTTGGCCAAAAAATTCATTTGGTTTTTTAAGTAAAACTAAAAGACACATTTTTCATTTTCAACAAGAACTTTATTGAACAACATATGCACCATTTTTTTCCACTACATTATGCCATTTTTCAGAAAACTTTGTCATTACATCTTCCCCAGATGGAAATGGGGATTTTTTTGAGCAAAGAATTGTTGCAGGTGCCTTTTACAGTCTTCCAGGGAATTGAAATTTTTTCCATTAAGAGAATTTTGTAAAGACCAGAGTAAATGGGCATCCAAAAGTACAGTGTCTGGTAAGTACAGCGGATGAATCAAAACTTCCCAGCTAAGCTGTAACAATTTTTGCCTGGTCATTGAAGAAACTTGTGTTATCTTGATGGAAGGTCGTGTGGTTTATATTGACTAATTCTGGACACTTTTTGTCAAGTGCTACCTTTAGTTAGTCTAACTAGGAGCAGTACTTGTTGGAATTAATTGTTTGTTTTTCCAGAAGGAGCTCATAATAGAGGGCTTCCTTCCATCCCTACCATATATACAACATCACCTTCTTTGGATGAAGACCAGTCTTGTGTGGTGGGTGGTGGTTCATTTCACTTGCCCCACAATCTCGTTGGTTCTGCATTATTGTACAGTATCCGCTTTTCATCACCCATCACAATTTATTTTAAAAAGCACCGTTTTTGTTATGTTTCAGTAGAGAATTACATGTGGAAATACAGTCAAGAAAGTTTTTTTTGCTTAACTTATGTGGCACCCAAACTGATTAATGTAACCAAACTGGTGCAAAGGATTTTCAGTGCTTGACTTAAATGTATGTCAGCTGTCTCCCGCATGGTATAACATTTATTGTTCTCAATTAATTTCTTGATTTGATCACTGTCAACTTCAGCTGGGCACCTGACCATGTAGCATCGTCAAGCGAGAAAACTCCTGCACAGAACTTCACAAACCACTTTTGACAAGTTTGATCAGTCACGACACCTTCCCCATTCACTGCACAAATCTTTTTTTGTGTTTCAGTAGCATTTTTACCTTTCTTGAAATAATAAAGTATGATACACTGAATATGTTGCTTTTTCTTCCATCTTCAGTATTAAATTGGATATGCAGCAATTCACCAGTTTTGGTAAGGTTGTTTTTTTTTTTTAAATGCACCCTGGTATGCCAGCTGTCACAATATAATCTAACAAAATTTTTTCTCATGAAGTTAAAGACAACTAAGCCCTACTAGAGCCATTTTTTGGAAAAAATCAAATGAACCTTTTGGCCAACTCAATATATAAGGAAAATAATACTAATAGTGAATTTTAAGCTTGCATTGATTCTCATCTAACTTTATATTTGTTATATAATTGAGAATCTGTATTTCTGCATTTTCAGATTATTTTACATTGAAATAATTTATAATTACTTAGTTTTAGATGGTGAATAATATAGGTATATTTATATGTTTAATGGTAAATTGATTTAAGGTGATTTAATAAGATATTCTGACAATGTGTTAATGTCATTGGATTTGGAAGATTTTAATAGACCTGTTGATTTTGGTATCACTGTCTGTTAATAGTAAAAAAAAAAAAGAAAAACAAATACCATTGTCTTAATGGTAAAGAACTCATTGATCCTCTCTATCACATGCATATACCTCTCCCAGAACCTTTCCTAGTCACATTTTTACAATGGAAAAATTACTCTCTTGCCGGTTTCCTTCATTATAGCTAGTATATGTGATACTGCTGAATTCATAAGGATCCCCAGGCTACCTCTGTTAAGTACCTGTGATAACAGAATCTGTGGATCTTTAAGCACTATTTTATGAACTGATAGGATTTCTGTAGTTCTTCTTTTTCCTTGTACTCCTTGACCCTCAACAGTAAATAATAAATGTATTTAATAGGGAAATGTTACAATTTAATAGTCATTTCCCTGTTCTTTTTAACACTTTACAGTAAGGAATTTCCTTATTGAAAAATTCAGTGTATTTTTTCATAAATCTATAAATCATGCACAGTGCTAAAGTTTATATATGAAGAATTTTTGTTTTAGAATCTTTCCCCATATTGGTGCTTGAAGAGGATATTATATAGATTAAGTACTATTGAAATAGTTGACAAAAATTTGAGACTTAATTAGCTTTAAAATCTCTCTCCTAGAAAGTAGTGAATTAGAGTTGGGGTATGCAAACTTATGCAAACTCATCCTAAAGGGAAAGAATGAGTCCTAGACCAACACTTAGTGTAACCTGATTAAAGAGACTAAATTTTTTTAAAAGAATGTATCAGTCAGTGGATTTGATTAGTAAGGGATGCAAAGGATACTTAGGAAGGAAACTTTGACAATGTGCATTTAAACACGAGGGAGAAGGTTTCTCTACCCAAGAGCATAACCTGGTCCCTCGTTCATTCATAAGCATTTACTGAGATCATATTGCCTTCTGAGTATTTGGCACTAGTATACAAAGACAAATATGATTCCTGCCAGCAAGAATGTAGAAGCTTCTAAGGGAGAACTGAACCATCCCTCTTGAGAGGAATGCATTTCTTAAAGAGACACCATTGAACATCAACATTGAACCAATTCTACCTTATAATTTTGCTTTTTCTTTAAATTGCCATTAAGACAAAATGTTCTGCAGAGAAGGTGAAACTATCTATCTACTGTTACACTCTTCATTATAAATAGCTGAATCAGATCTTGGTTTTGGTTATATTAGTCTCTTGTGAGGTGGGTTAGTGTGGGTCACATCCCTGAGTCCAGCTTCAGAGCCCGGCTGAGACCCCTGGACAGATGCCTCGAGAGCACTTCAACCTTGGCATGCATATTTTCATCTGAAATCTCCTGATTTTCTCTGTGTTAAAGCTATTATTGGACCCATTAAAACCATTATTCACACAGAGCCATAAAATTTGATTCTGTACCCTTTCCAGTAGGACACTAAGTAGGAAATTGAAGTCAGAATTTGTTAACTTATTTTGATAAGGCTTTCTTCTAAGCAAAAGTGGTGTTTTTCTAATCTCAATCTTTATATCATACATTATAGTTATTTTTTCCATATATCAGTTTTTTACAACAATTATGTACTGCTGGGATAAAGAAAACTTGATATTGTATAACTTTTACAGTGTTTGCTAATGCTTTTAGAATGACGAGCAAAATCCTTTCCCCAGCCTATGAAGATGAGCATGGTCTGACCATTGACTCCTGCCTTAGGGTTACTTCCTCCAGACTACCCTCACTCACCTTTTTGTATCCTTCCATGTGGCCTGCCCTCCCATTTTTGACCCTTGGACCTCCTTGTTCCCCAGCCTGGAGTTGTCTCCCTTCCTTCCTTCACGTAAGGCAGGAGATATCTTTCAAGTGGCATGGTTTATGTATTAAGTACTTGTGCTTCAGAATAATTAATTTTTAAAGTCTTGATGCAAATTTTTAAAATATTCCATTGGGTAAGATTCACACAATCAAATAGAATTTTAATTTTCCTTTTGTGAATTTTTCGTCTGGTGAATTTTTATTTCATGTAGCAGATTTAGCTACTGTCTCCTAGTATAACTCATATAATAGCTTAACAAATCTAAGCTAATTTAACAGTGTTACTATGTTGACATAGTGGTCAAAACAATTCTCTTAATGTAAATATCCAACTATATTAAATCCCATCCCAGGACCGTTTGGGACAAATGTAAGCTATTTGAAAACAAAGAAGACTTCTCAGCCTGTTATGGAAACAGAAGAGGAGTCTGCTGAAAGGATTCAGCTTCTTAAGAGCAGTGGAACCTCTGTCTTGAGTATTGACAGCTTAGAAGCCAGTGGTAAGAATTGTGGGGGATATATGTTGACAGATTATGATGCTTATAATCAGAATTTTTAGAAAAATTAACTCTTAGCTCTCTTGGAGCCTCCTTAACAGAAGTGTATAGACAGATTTAATATCTTCCCCGAAGGTTTAGAATTACACCTCTGGAGAATCCACATAACCTTATATATTATGAACACAAATCTATGTTTGGTGGTAAGAGAGTAGGTAAAATGTTATAGATTTTTTTAAGTTTTGCTATATAATTTCAATAAATGCAACATTAAAATTAATTTCTTCAAATTGTATTTGTTAATGAAATATATTTTTGCTTTCTATTTAGAGATAGTTTCTGAGCTTAATCATAGTGTTCTCGGATTGGGACTGGACACGTTAGAAGAGCAAGAGGAAAAAGAACAATTTTTTGCCATGCTTGAGAAAGGCTTAACATCGTCTGTTGATTATTCAAGGTTAAATAAGGAATTGGATTCTAATGACTCCATACATTTTAAAGCTTTACATAGGTAATGTAAATACAATATAAACAAATCATTAAATAATTTTTGTGTCTTTCTATAGTTTTATAAAGCTAGTATATGCATGTAATTAAAGGGGTAAATATAACAGGCAAAATTTAAATCTTATTTTTAATTCTGTTTTCTGTTCATTATTTTGATCAGGGTGTGTGTGTTTATGAGTGTGTGGAACATGATTGGTATGTATACTGACTGGAATACATTTGTATTTGAGTCTCTAGATATCTAAAATTTCATGCATGATATACTTTTGAGGTGAACAACATATTGCTAAGTAGACCTAACCAGGAAGGTAATTTATTAAGTCGTCTTCTACAGATAAAGTGAGTCCAGGTAGCTGTTAGAGACTCAGGGGAGGGACTTCCTTAGTGGTCCAGTAGTTAAGACTCCATGCTTCCAACTGCAGGGGACACAGGTTTGATCCCTGGTTCTGAAGCTAAGATCGTGCATGCTGTGTGGTGCAGCCAAAACTTTTAAAAATAAAATAAGATAGGAACAAAAAGGGAAAGAGGAACCAGGGAGCAAAGACAGATCTGGTTTGTGTCCTACCTTTAGGCTGTATGATTATCAGCCTAAAGATTATCATTTATCCTGGAAATTCTACTAGCTTACTGAGCTGGTGCCTTGTGCATGCCATAGACCTTTGGCATTCTCAAGATTTGTGTGACCTGATATCTTTAATATCCTCAGTTTTAAGTTTTCCATTTAATTTTGAAAATTATAAATGGAAGTCAGGTTACAAGTTTAAGATTTTAAGAACACCAAACTACAATTAAATTAAGGGTTAGGAAACTCATACCCTCTGGTCATTAGAGTGCCTGGTCTCCTCAGGATACTTGGTTTCTTACAGATAGTGGACAAAACAGTGACTGTCGTGAACTACGTAGAGTCTGAGATTTTTACCCTACTTGCAAACCAGACTGTGGTTTATGGATGCTGACAATTGACAAGGGTTCTTGTGTCAGAAACAAAATGACTGTCTCTTGACAAAAGCAGGACCCAAGTGCCATGTTGATTTGCCTCAGTTTCCCTTGTCCCACAAGGTTCATGGGGTCCATGATGGCTGTCCACCCATGTAGTGGGTTGCTTTACAGGACAGGGTCACTGAGCTTGGGGACTCTATTGCTTTTTTAATAGGTGGAAACAAGCCTGCTTTGAGGGCAGAAACATTGCCTGTGTTTCAGAGTTGATCACTGCAATTCTTGAGAAATGACCTATGAAGGAGGATCTGTGCCTTATGTTCTTGGCTTACCCAGCAAGAACTTGCAGGGACCCTAATGGCCCATGGTGATTGCCTGTCTTAACAGTGACAACACAGAATAAGCATACACAGGTTTGCTGGCCACAAGTTTTTGTCCCTTTGGAGTATTTCTTAATGTTTCCTTGTTTTTAACAATGTTCCTAGAGATCTCTTCAAGACAGACTAGAGATCTCTTCAAGTAAATTAAAGATACCAAGGGAACATTTCATGCAAAGATGGGCTCAATAAAGGACAGAAATGGTATGGACCTAACAGAAGCAGAAGATACTAAGAAGATTTGGCAAGAATACACAGAAGAACTATACAAAAAAATCTTCACGACCCAGATAATCATGATGGTGTGATCTCTCACACCATCTCTCACCTAGAGCCAGAATCCTGGAATGCAAAGTCATGTGGGCCTTAGGAAGCATCACTACGAACACAGCTAGTGAAAGTGATGGAACTCCAGTTGAGCTGTTTCCAATCCTAAAAGATGATGCTGTGAACGTGCTGCACTCAATATGCCAGCAAATTTGGAAAATGCAGCAGTGGCCATAGAACTGGAAAGGTCAGTTTTCATTCCACTCCCAAAGAAAGGCAATGCCAAAGATACTCAAACTACTGCACAATTGCACTCATCTCACACGCTAGCAAAGTAATGCTCAAAATTCTCCAAGCCAGGCTTCAGCAATATATGAACTGTGAAGTTCCAGGTGTTCAAGTTAGATTTAGAAAAGGCAGAGGAACCAGAGATCAAATTGCCAACATCTGCTGGATCACCAAAAAAGCAAGAGAGTTCCAGAAAAACATCTATTTCTTCTTTATTGCCTGTGCCAAGGCCTTTGATTGTGTGGATCACAACAAACTGTGGAAAATTCTAAAAGAGATGGGAATACCAGACCACCTGACCTGCCTCTTGAGAAATCTGTATGCAGGTCAGGAAGCAATAGTTAGAAGTGGACATGGAACAACATACTGGTTTCAAATAGGAAAAGGAGTACATCAAGGCTGTATATTGTCACCCTGCTTATTTAACTTATATGCAGAGTACATCATGAGAAATGCTGGGCTAGATGAATCACAAGCTGGAAGCTAGAATCCCGGGAGAAATATCAATAACCTCAGATATGCAGATGACACCACCTTTATGGGCAGAAGGTGAAGAAGGACTAAAGAGCCTCTTGATAAAAGTGAAAGAGGAGAGTGAAAAAGTTGGCTTAAAGCTCAACATTCAGAAAACTAAGATCAAGGCATCCGGTCCCATCACTTCATGGCAAATAGATGAAGAAACAGTGGCAGACTTTACTTTTTGGGACTCCAAAATGACGCAGATGGTGACTGCAGCCATGAAATTAAAAGGTACTTGCTCCTTGAAAGGAAAGTTATGACCAACCTAGATAGCATATTAAAAAGCAGAGACATTACTTTGCCAACAAAGGTCTGTCTTGTCAAGGCTATGGTTTTTCCAGTGTTCATGTATGGATGTGAAAGTTGGACTATAAAGAAAGCTGACTGCCGAAGAACTGATGCTTTTGAACTGTGGTGTTGGAGAAGACTCTTGAGAGTCCCTTGGACTGCAGGGAGGTCCAATCAGTCCATCCTAAAGGAGGTCAGTCCTGAATATTCACTGGAAGGACTGATGTTGAAGCTGAAACTCCAATACTTTGGCCACCTGATGTGAAGAGCTGACTCATTTGAAAAGACCCTGATGCTGGGAAAGATTGAAGGTGGTAGGAGAAGGGTACCACAGAGGATGAGATGGTTGGATGGCATCACCGACTCGATGGACATGAGTTTGAGTAAACTGTAGGAGTTGGTGATGGACAGGGAGGCCTGGCATGCTGCAGTCCACAGGGTCGCAAAGAGTTGGACACTATTGAGCAACTGAACTGAACAATGTTCCTAATTATGATACTTCTACTGGAGAACAGCCTAGTCAGAGTACAGTGTAGTATTGAATATATGGTGTTTGCTGCTACTGTTATTAGAGTTTATAGTTTCTTGGGCCTCCTAATGATCTCACTAAAGACTTGGTTGGGGGACTGAAAAAGGTAGAACTGATTCTTTGGTTTGAAAAAAGCACAGTGTATGAACTAATATATCCAATACAGTTAAAACACCTTGCTGAGTGTTTATTGGTTTAAGGCTCTCATTCAGCTTCCATTTTAGGATGAAATTGCTTCTTAGCATGGAAATGCTGACTCTGGGAGTTTTTTTTTTTTCTGGCTTCCTCATACTTGACTGGTTCTTGCAGCTTGTGGGGCATACCTAATCTGTAGTGTAGAAAGGCTGTCTGGGCCCTGAGAAATATAAGGCACACGTTTATGTATAAAATTGTATATATTCGTGTATAAAGCTAAGAAATATGGCATTTTCTGCCCCCCCCCCCGCCCCCCGTATTTCTTTGGTGGCTACAGTTAGTTTCATGCTTGGAAGATCCTTCATTTTTAAAACATTGCCTTCATAGTTTCCAGATTTTTAGCTTTTGCTAGAACAGGAGTACATAAGAAGAAATACATGATGTTAAGATTTTTAAAAAAATATTCACAAAAGATTTCATGGAAATATATTATTAATGTGTGATATTAAATATTTTCTAGTAATCAAGCTAATATGGAGCTAACTGAAGATAAACATGAGAATGAATCAAAACATGAAGAACTGGCAGGTAATTTCATTGATTTTAAAATTTACACTATTTGAACAGATAATATAACTTTTAATAAAGACATTGATAAGAGCAGGCTTCCCTTGTGGCTCAGCTGGTAAAGAATCAGCCTGCAAAGCAGGAGACCTGGGTTCGATCCCTGGGTCGGGAAGATCCCCTGAGAAGGAAATGGCATCTCCAGTATTCTTGCCTGGAGAATTCCATGGAAGAGGAACCTTGTGGGCTACAATCCATGGGGTCACAAAGAGTCGGAGACAACTGAGCAACTTTCATTTTCACTTGATAATACAATTTTGTTTTTAATTAGTTTTCTCTTATCTTGGAAAGAGCTTGAACAGGTAGAGTGAGTTGCATGTGTCACAAATGGAGCTACTAAGAAATTGTTATAAGAGCAGGACTGTTTTGTTTGTTGGGAGTGGATAGCGGACCTATTCGGAAGACGGAAAAAGGAATTTTTGTCTTAGGACCTGGGGAATGTGTACAGCCGGGACAAATACCTCCAAAGCATGGTTAGGGAGATACATCTTTTTCTGCCTTTTGACTTTAAATATGTCTGTCTTATAATACTTTAAACGATTTTCTTTTGGTAGTGTATAGCTGAGTTTTGGTTTTATTTCCAGTCAATCTCAGACTTTTAGTTGAAATGTTTCTGCCCTTTGCAGAAAGATATTCATTGGTATGGTTATTTACTGTTTTGCCATTTGTTCCTTTCAATCTTTTGTTGTTGTTGCTTTTGTGCTACGTTTTATTGATTTGAGTATTTATAGCGTCCCATCTTAACCTTTCTAATGGCTTGTTAGTTGTACTCCTTAGCTGTGTTTTTTATAGTTGCCTTATGATTCACACTGTGCTTATGCATCTTTACTTCATTAGAGCCTACTTTAAAATAACCTTACGCCACTTTACATGAATTTTAACAGAAGTAAACTTCCCCCAACCTTTTGGCCATTTTTGTATGCCTTTTGGCATACATTTTTCTTCTACATCGCTTAAAAACCCCACAGTACAGCAGTATTAGTTGTTGAGGCAGTCTGAGCGCAGGCTGGAAAAGAATTTCCAGACATAGAGCGTTTCAGAAGGGAGTGAATTTATTAAGAACAAAGAGCAGAAATAAAGTGGGTACAGCAAGCACAGTGGGCTGACAGATGGCAGAGTCGACAGTTTTTCTGGGTTAATAGCCAATTTTTATGGCCTTAAGACAAAATTCTTGCTGGATGGTTGGCGTTAGGTGATGGGTTGGGGTGCTATAGGCTGCTTACTGGAATGGGCATCTTTGCCTAATTGGGAATTAGGAAGCTTGGTAGTGATTATCAGGGTGTTCTTGGCAAGGTTGCACAGGGGCTTAGTTAGCTTCGGAGGTGTCCTTCTGTGGTGCAAGGCTTCGAACCTGTGGCCTTGGGGAAGGACTCAACATTATTATTGCTTTTAACAGACTATTATAAATCTTATACCTAATATAAAAGTCTATATTTATACTTAGATAGTTACCATTCCCAGTGAATTTTTTTACCTTTTATTTTGAAATGAATCTTTAAAATTTATTTTTAAATTAAGTTACAATTAACATATATAACTTATTAGCTTCAGGTGTATATCACAATGATTCAATATCTGTGTACATTGTGAAATGTTCACCATAATAAGTCTAGTTACCATCTGTCACCTTCAGTTCAGTCGCTCAGTTGTGTCTGGCTCTTTGCGACCCCATGGACTACAGTGGGCCAGGCTTCCCTGTCCATCACCAACTCCTGGAGCTTACTCAAACTCATGTCTGTTGAGTTGGTGATGCCATCCAACCATCTTATCCTCTGTCATCCCCTTCTCCCGCCTTCGGTCTTTCCCAGCAACAGGGTCTTTTCCAGTGAATCAGTTCTTCGCATGAGGTGACCAAAGTATTGGAGTTGCAGCCTCAGCATCAGTCCTTTCAGTGAACACCCAGGACTGATCTCCTTTAGGATGGACTGGTTGGATCTCCTTGCAGTCCAAGGGACTCTCAAGTGTCTTCTCCAACACCACAGTTCAAAGCATCAGTTTTTCGGCAGTCAGCTTTCTTTATAGTCCAACTCTCACATCCATACGTGACTACTGGAAAAATTAAAGCTTTGACGAGACAGACCTCTGTTGGCAAAGTAATGTCTCTACTTTTTAATATGCTGTCTAGGTTTGTCATAACTTTGCTTCCAAGGAGCAAGCGTCTTTTAATTTCATGGTTGCAGTCACCATCTGCAGTGATTTTGGAGCCCCCCAAAAAATAAAGTCTGTCACTGTTTTCCTTGTTTCCCCATCTGTTTTCCATGAAGTGATGGGACAGGATGCCATGATCTTTGTTTTTTGAATGTTGGGTTTTAAGCCAACTTTTTCACTCTCTTCTTTCACTTTCATCAAGAAGTTCTTTAGTTCTTCTTTGCTTTCTATCATAAGGATAGTGTCATCTGCATATCTGAAGTTATTGATATTTCTCCCAGCAGTTTTGATTACAGCTTGTGCTTTATCCAGCCCAGCATTTCTCATGATGTACTCTGCATATAAGTTAAATAAGCAGGGTGACAATATATAGCCTTGACATACTCCTTTCCCGATTTGGAACCAGTCTGTTTTTCCGTGTCCACTTCTAACTGTTGCTCTTGACCTGCCTTCAGATTTCTCAGGAGGCAGGTCAGGTGGTCTGGTATTCCCATCTCTTTCAGAATTTTCCACAGTTTGTTGTGATCCACACAGTCAAAGGCTTTGGCATAGTCAATAAAGCAGAAATAGATGTTTTTCTGGAACTCTCTTGCTTTTTTGATGAGTCAGCGGATGTTGGCAATTTGATCTCTGGTTCCTCTGCCTCTTCTAAATCCAGCTTGAACATCTGGAAGTTCATGGTTCATGTATTGCTGAAGCCTGGCTTGGAGAATTTTGAGCATTACTTTGCTAGCGTGTGAGATGAATGCAATTGTGCGGTAGTTTGAGCATTCTTTGGCATTGCCTTTCTTTGGGATTGGAATGAAAACTGACCTTTTCCAGTCCTGTGGCCACTGCTGCATTTTCCAAATTTGCTGGCATATTGAGTGCAACACTCTTACAGCATCGTCTTTTAGGATTTGAAATAGCTCAACTGGAATTCCACCCCCTCCATTAACTTTGTTCGTTGTGAGGGTTCCTCAGGCCCACTTGACTTTGCATTCTAGGATGTCTGGCTCTAGGTGAGTGGTCACACCATCGTGGTTATCTGGGTCATGAAGATCTTTTTTGTATAGTTCTTCTGTGTATTCTTGCCAATTCTTATTAATATCTTCTGCTTCTGATAGGTCCATACCATTTCTGCCCTATATTTTGCCTATCTTTGCATGAAATGTTCCCTTGGTATTTCTAATTTTCTTGAAGAGCTGTCTAGTCTTTCCCATTCTATTGTTTTCCTCTATTTCTTTGCATTGATCACTGAGAAAGGCTTTCTTAGCTCTCTATGCTGTTCTTTGGAACTGTGCATTCAAATGGGTATATTTTTCCTTTTTTCCTTTTCCTTTAGCTTCTTTTCTTTTCGCAGCTGTTTATAAGACCTCATCAGACAACCATTTTGCCTTTTGCATTTCTTTTTCTTGGGGATGGTCTTGATCACTGCCTCCTGTACAATGTCATGAACCTCCATCCATAGCTCTTCAGGCACTCTTGTCAGATCTAATCCCTTGAATCTTTTGTCACTTCCACTGTATAATTGTAAAGGATTTGATTTAGATCATACCTGAATGATCTCGTGATTTTCCCTACTTTCTTCAATTTAAGTCTGATTTTGGCAATAAGGAGTTCATGATCTGAGCCACAGTCTGCTCCTGGTCTTGTTTTTGCTGACTGTATAGAGCTTCTCCATCTTTGGCTGCAAAGAATATAATCAGTCTGATTTCGGTATTGACCATCTGGTGATGTCCATGTGTAGAGTCTTCTGTTGTGTTGTTGGAAGAGGGTGTTTGCTGTGACCAGTGCGTTCTCTTGGCAAAACTCTATTAGCCTTTGTCACCTTCTATCACCTTACATAATTGCAAAAAATTATTTTTTCTTGTGATAAGAACTTTTAAAATGTGTTCTCTTAGCAGCTTTCAAATAGTTGGGATCTACTATTATTTTTAATTTCTGTCTAGTAGTATTTTTCTTCAGCATGTAAAACCTCCCTGGCTTTTCTTACAGTGCAGGTCTAATGGGAATAAATTCTCTGAAGTATTGTTTGTCTGAAAGTATATTTTGCCTTTGTTTTTGAAGAACACTTTTGCTTGATACAAAATTGTAGGTAATTTATTTTCTTTGAGCACTTTAATGATTTCCTTCTATTGTCCTCTGACATTTCTCATGAGAAGTCCAGTAATAACTTACTGTGGTTTTGTGTATACAGTGTCTTTTCCCTCTTTGAAAATTTTTCTCTTTAGGCCAGTGTTGTGGCAGTTTGGGTAGTATGATCTTGATGTGCTTTTCTCATGTTTATCCTGTTTGCAGCTGTTTGAGCATCAATTGATCTGTTAATTTATGGTTTCCATCAAAATAAATGTTTTATGCCAGTAAGTCTTCAAAGTCATGCCTGACTTCCCTTGCTTTCTGATCCTAATTCCAAGTATGTTAGAAAGTTAAATTTTGTCTCATAGGTCAAAAGACTGTCATTTTTTAAAGCTTTTTTCCTCTCAGCTTTAGTTTAATTGTTATGTTTTCAAGTTCATTAATCTTTTTTCTTCTTTAATCTCTTGTTACTCCTTTTTTTTTTAACTCTAGAAGTTTCTTTTGCATCTTTTTCTTCATTTCTTTTAGTATATTTCCTCATGTTCTTTGTTTTCAAGTCCTCAACACTGAGTGTATTCTGCAATCCCAGTATTTGTTTATTTCCGGGTCTCTTCTAGTTGTGGTGACTTTCTCCTCCTTGTAATTCTAGTTAATTTTTAATGGAGTGTTGAATATTTTGTAGATTTTTACATTGTTAAAATGAATTTTGAATTTTGTTTTCTTCTTTTGAATAGTGTTGAGCTTTGTTCTGGCTGAAAGGTTGATCTTTTCAGGGCTTTTCTTATGCTTTGTTAGGGGAAGTCCTGAGTAGCCTTACTTTAGCAGAGTTTGACACTGCTACTGAGACATAGCCTTCTTGATTATTTTCACTGGATGCCCCTACTGAACAACAAGGATTTTTTCCACTCAAGCTGGTTAGAGCTTCAAAACCACTTTTCCCTGTGCAAAATATGGAAATTTTCCAACTTCCAACATCCCACTTGTTCTTTGGTCAAACTAGACTTAAATAATTCAGTATGCAGGAGAGCCTCAAGGGGGCTCCCTGTAGATTTCTAGCACTTTGTTTCTGAAAGTTGCTCAGTGGAGTCCAACTCTTTGCAACCCCATGGACTATAGAGTCCATGAAATTCTCCAGGCCAGAATACTGGAGTAGGTAGCCATTCCCTTCTCCAGGGTATCTTTGCAACCTGGGGATCAAACTCAGGTCTCCTGCATTGCTGGCAGACTTTACCAGCTCAGCTTCATCCCTTTATCACTTGCCTGCAGCCTGCCTTGTTTTTTCAGTACTCTTATCTCTGTTTTCTTAACACAGTAAGACTGTCCTGATCTCCCTGATCCTGCTTAGCACTCCAGGATGTATGTTCAGTTCAGTTCAGTCACTCAGTCGTGTCCAACTCTTTGCGACTCCACGAGTTGCAGCACTCCAGGCCTCCCTGTCCAACACCAACTCCCGGAGCCTACCCACATTCATGTCCATTGAATTGATGATGCCATCCAACCATCTCATCCTCTGTCATCCCCTTCTCCTCCTGCCCTCAATCTTTCCCAGCATCAGGGTCTTTTCAAATGAGTCAGCTCTTTGCATCAGGTGGCCAAAGTATTGGAGTTTCAGCTTCAACATTAGTCCTTCCAATGAACACCCAGGACTGATCTCCTTTAGGATGGACTGGTTGGATCTTCTCACGGTCCAAGGGACTCTCAGGTCTTCTCCAACACCACAGTTCAAAAGTATCGGTTCTTCGGCGCTCAGCTTTCTTTATAGTCCAGCTCTCACATCCATACATCACCACTGGAAAAACCATAGCCTTGACTAGATGGACCTCTGTTGGCAAAGTAATGTCTCTGCTTTCAATATGCTGTCTAGGTTGGTCATAACTTTCCTTCCAAGGAGTAAGCGTCTTTTAATTTCATGGCTGCAGTCACCATCTGCAGTGATTTTGGAGCCCAAAAAAATAAAGTCTCTTGCTGTTTCCACTGTTTCCCCATCTACTTGCCATGAAATGATGGGACCAGATGCTGTGATCTTATGTTGAGCTTTATGTACCTTCTAGTAAATGTAGACTTAGCTCACTTGTTTATCTTTCTTAAGAATCATATTTTTGCACTGCTGATTGTCCGGTATCTGAAAACATTTGTTTCATATACTTTATGCATTTTATGCATTATTTTGGAGCAGGAGATAACAACCCTCTCTGGTATTCTTGCCTAGAAAATTACTCAGATAGAAGAGCCCTGGTGGGTTACAGTCCATGGTGTTGCAAAGAGTTGGACACAACTGAGTATGCATGTACTCATTATTTACAAAGTTCTTGAAATCCCACATGGTACAGTTGAAAATCCTCTAAATTCCATCATGCTTAAAGTTTATCAGCCAAATATTCTAACAGAGAAGGAAAAAATATCTCCAAAATGTATCTTTTAGATCTTTTACATCAAGAATTGTTTGCTTGTTTTCTGTTTATGCAAATTATATTTTGAAAGTTACAGATGCGGAGTATAATAGTAGAAATCCCTAATGTTGAATGCGCAATGTCTTCCAGTCAAACAGATCAGAAGTGTAAAAGTTGTTGTTCACTCAGTCGTGTCCGACTCTTTGAGACCCCATGGACTGTAGTGTGCAAGCCTTCCCTTACTTCAGCATCTCCCAGAACTTGCTCAAACTCGTGTCCATTGTGTTGGTGATGTCATGCAATCATCTTTTCCTCTGTCATCCCCTTCTCCTGCCTTCAGTCTTTCCCAGCTTCAGGGTCTTTTCTCACTAGTCGGCTCTTCACATCAGGTGGCCAAAGTTTCAACTTCAGCATCAGTCCTTCCAATGAAAATTCAGGACTGATTTCCTTTAGGATGGACTCGTTTCGTTTCCATGCAGTCCAGGGACTCTCAAGAGTCTTCTCCAAAGCATCAGTTCTTTGATGCTCAGCCTTGTTTATGGTCCAACTCTCATATCCATACATGACTGCTGGAAAAACCAGAGCTGTGACTATACGGACCTATGTTGGCAATGTAATGTCTGTACTTTTTAATGTGCTGTCAAGGTTTGTCATAGCTTTTCTTCCAAGGAGCAAGCGTCTTTTAATTTTATGGTTGCAGTCACCACCTGCAGTGATTTTGGAGCCCAAGAAAATAAAATAAAAATTAATATTTTCATTGTTTTCCAAACAATGTGAAAGAGCTGGTGGAATTTATTATCTCTGATATTTCTCATATGAGAACCACCTTCTCAATTGCGTTTTAGTCTTTCATTGTTATATAAACTTAATTTCCCTTGGTATTTCTTTCAGAAATTGCTGATTCATTGTTTTCCTCTCTTTTATTTCTTGTCTCTCTTATTTCTCTCTGTATCTACCAATGGCATTTCCTTCTTGATTCAAACCTAGTTTATTTGTGACACAATTCCTGAGATTGGTCTTTTACATGTTAGTAATATTTGCCTACAGACTATTCTGTTACTAAGTGCCAAGAAAATGTAGTTCTGAAGATTGCATATTAGATTAGTACATTTCTTAAATACTATTTGGCTTTATTAACTTTTAATTCAGATTAAGTATAACACAAGCTATAATACTAACAAAGATAAATTATTACTGCTCAACATAATGGCTAAGACATACAGTGAATATTGTATAACAGTAACTCTTAATCTTCTCATCAATTCTCTGAAATAAATACTCATATTGTTCCTACTTTATAGCTGGGAAACATGAGGCAATGAGTTTGTGACTTGCTTTTGGTTCTACAGCTGAAAAATACTAGAATCCGAAGTTGAATACAAGTCTTCTGGTTCTGGGTCATGCTACAAGCACTGTGCCACAGTATCTGAAGTGTTTCTTACAATGCTTCTTTGAGGTGACACAAACACTACATCCTCTTCCATTGATTTTAGAAAGTTCCCGAATCCCAAGTAGTTGTTTAAGTTTATGTCATACTCTCCCATAGGACTTCCCTGTAGCTCCAGCGGTAAAGAAGCTGCCTGCAATGCAGGAAACCTGGGTTCACTCCCTGGATCAGGAAGACCCTCTGGAGAAGGGAAGGGCAGTCCACTCCCGTGTTCGTGCCTGGTGAATCCCATAGACAGAGAGGCCTGCAGGGCTCCAGCTCATAGGGTGGCAGAGTTGGACACCACTGAGCGACTAACACTCACTCACTTACTTACGCTTATACCCTCCCACATGTCTTCCCTCCTTGTTCATCCTCTTTACTTAAGCAAGACTCATTCCTGAGGTACTTAAAAATCAGTGATTCCCACTAGAATATGAGAATGTTAATCATCTGATACTGGTCCTAGCATCTAGAATTTAATACAAGGTAATTTCTCTGTAACTGTTATGTGATTATGTCTACTGATACTATAAAATTCCAGTCAGAGTTCTTTTTCAGATAGAAGAAAAATAGAAGTGAGCTTCTCAGCCTCAGAACATAGATACTGTTGTAATTAACCAACCCACCTAGTTTATCTACCTAAGTCACAATACCCATGTTCTTCCACCCTTGTATACCTGTGAACTGAAATGGAGATATGTCTATAGGTAGATCTCACTTGGAACATCTCTGTTTAGCTTACCTATTTTCAGACTTCCATTGTTAATCTCCATTCAAAGAGAAGACTGAAAGATGGTCATTCCAGAAGCAGACTCTCAAACCTCATGCAGCCTTTCACCCATCAGGCCATCCTGTCTCTGAATGTGATCTAATTTTTTAAATACAAATAAGATTATGAATGATCAGTTCTCTTCTGAAAAGGCCATTCTTGTTCTGCAGCCCACAAATCTCACTCAGTCCTTCAACTGGAGGGCTATAGACAACCAATTAAAAATTGATGAGATCCTGGCCAGACAGTTTCTGCCCATCTTCACCATAAGAATCCTGATAGCATCATGTTAACTGGACAGAACTTGCCTTTTGCTGCAGTCATTGAGATAATAATTTGGGAGACTTTAGCTGAGAGATGTCTAGGATTGGGAAACAGTGAAGGTCATTAAGGCTAGTATTTTCCTAAGGGAGGTGTCAAAGATAAGAGTTTTCATAAGTTTTCATATCCTTTCATACTGCTTAAGGGTAACAGTGAAATAACTGTAAAGACTAAAAAAATCAACTTAAGTAAAATCTAACCTTTGTTTAAGCATGTCTAGATTTTTCAAAAGTGCTACCTTTTAGAAGTAAGAAATTTGAGATTTTTATCTTTAAAAATCAAATAACTGCAGTTTGTTTTAAAAGTATATAATATTTTGAACACCTCTAGAAAATTTTAGTTGGAAAATAATTCAAAGTATTAATAATATAAAACTGATAACTACTTGAAAGTACAAAAAAAAAGGCTACCCAAGTCTTAATAATTGAATTCTCATCAATCTTTTCCTTAAAATAGGGTGTTCTTAAAGATATCTTTATGTTAACATTTAAGTAACTACTCTTACACAGACTTCTTTTGAAAATCAATAGTCTTTCCCTGGGAATTTGACTTTTTTGACTATATTATTCTTGTGGTTTTTTAAAAACTATTTTCTTCAGAAAATTATAGTGATGATTTTGAAGATGAGGATATTGATGCACCTTTGACTCCTAAAGGAGAGACTAATTCCAAAGAAAATTCCAAATCAGAAAAAACAAATGTTCCCAAACAGGTATGTATCAATTATATGTTTGACAGTTTGGAAACTTATTTCATTACCTTAGCTGACTACTGACTATTGCTCTAAAAAGAGCTTGAAATACAGAGTTCTTTATATATTCTTGCTATTGTTGTAAAGTTATAAGTCTGTTAATACTCAGACACTTTGTTAACTCAGGATGTCAGTTTTAATCTTAATGAAATACATAGCAGTTGATGGTTTTCTGAAAGATTTCTTTTGGGAAATTTCTTTAAGCTTTGAAAATTGAAAATTTCATTAAAATCTCAAATCCTAATTTTTAAACAGGTATATTAAACTGTACTTTTCTTTGCTTGGTCTTGTCCTTGTGAGACATTCCCTCCCTAGTATTTATGCCAATAGCGATGTTACTGACTGAAACTTAATGGGCTAAGATTGTTATTAATATTGTTAATTGTCAATTAAATTATTCAGTTCACATTCAGGGATGTTGTACTCTTAATTCTGTCATTTCTCAGTTTTTACCAAGACATGCCAGACAGAACTTACCCTTGAAGCTACCTAATAGTAGACAATTGCTGTTTGTCATAAACTAGTGATGTTATTTTGGAGTTCAATTTAAAGAGGGTGATTTCTGAGCAAGGTAGATGAACAGATGACATCAGGTACTTTAACAAGGCGCATAAAGGCCTAAATTAATTGCTGGTGACCACCAAGGTTCTGAAGAGACTTGCAGAAGTTCTCTCACTGCTCCACTGTCTAGTCCTACAGAATGGTCAGTGAATGAGCATGGTGAGAGAAATCCAGGAAGCGTTTTTCTTGATCTTTTCACAATGGGGTAGGTGCTGCCTTTCAAGTTCTGTTACTCTTTGCAGTGTTCTCATTTCATATGAGTTCAATTTCAAATCATATAATTTTCTTTTTTTAATTTAGGAAGAAGAAAAAACTGGAATGCTGGCTAATGGTAAATATTATGTGTATTCATAAATTTTTGTAGACAGTTGGTCTGTTCAGAATTATATTTAAGTCTGAATAAATTACTGTATCTTGTTTTTAAGTAATTTCTGATGAATTAAAATTTATAGATTTTCTCAATATGTTCTTTACGCCTACCTTAAATTCTTCTTGTTGCATTTAAGGATACATGTTTTTTAAAAACCCCGGACCAAATGCCTTTATGGATAAATTTTACCAAGCATTCAAAGATGATTAATGTTAATCCTCCTTAAACTCTTCCTAAAAAACAGAAGAGGGAATTTTTTCAAGCTCAGTCTGTAAGACCAGCATCACCTTGATACGAAAGCTAGACAAATATTCCTCAAGAAGACTACAAACAAGCAATTCTATTTGCAGTGACATTAAAAAGAATACAAACTTAGAAATAAATTTTATCAAGGAGGTAAATTATGCCTAGAACTATAAAATATCAGATAGAAATTGAACACTAAAATAAATAGAAAAATATTCTGTGCTCATAGATTAAAAGAATTACTACTGTTAAAATGTCCATACTATCCAAAGTGAGCTACAGATTCAGTGAAATTCCTATCAAATTCCAGTGACATTTTTCACAGAAATAGAAAAAAAAAATCCTAAAGTTTTTATGAAACCACAAAGGACTTCACATAACCAAAGCAAGCTTGAGAAAAGAGCAAAGTGTAGAGGCATCACACTCCCTAATTTCAGAATGTATTACAGAGCTATAGTAACCAAAACAGTGTGGCATTGGTGTAAAAACAGAGAAAACCAATGAAACAATACATCCATGCACCTGTGGTCACCTAATCTTCAACAAGGGTGCCAAGAATATACAATGAGGACAGATAGTCTCTTCAATACTTCATGTTTAGAGAACTAGGTATCCACATGCAGAGGAATGAAATTGGATCCTTATCTCATACTGCATACAAAAGTCAACTCAAAATGGATCACAGATTTAAGTATAAGACCATGAACTGCAAAAATGAAAAGAAAAACATAGGAATACAGCTGCTTGATGTTATACTGGGCAATAATTTTTTGGATATGACCCCCAGATCACAAGCAAGAAAAGCAAAATAGCTAAATGGGATTGAATTAAACTAAAAAAGCTTCTACATACATAGCAAAGGAAAACAGCAGAGTGAAAAGGCAGCTTATAAATTAGGGCAAAATATTTATGAACTGTGTGTTTGGTAAAGGATTAATAACCACAATAAACAGAAAACTCATGCAACTCAGTAACAATAACAACAAAAGTTAAAAGTGAGCAGAGGACCCAAATAGATATTTCTCAAGATATGCAGCTGGATAAACAAGTGTATGAAAAATTACTAAACTTTGCTAATCATCAGGGAAATGCAGATCAAAACCATAATGAGATATCACCTCACACTTGTTAGATGACTGTTATCAAAAAGAGGACAAATAAGTTTTGGCGAGGATATAGAGAAAAGAGAACTTTAGTACACTGTTGGTAGGGCTATAAATTGGTACAGCCATTATGGAAAGCAGGATAGAGGTTCCTGAAAAAAAAATTAAAAATTAAACTACCTTATTATTCAGAATCCCACTTCGGGATATATAACTGGAAAAGATATCTGTACTCCCATATTTGTATGTGTGCTCAGTTGCCAAGTAGTGTACAACTCTTTGTGACCCTGTGAATCGTAGCCCACCATGCCTCTGTCCATGGGATTTTCCCAAGTAAGAATACTAGAGCCATTACTTCCTCCAAGGGATCTTCCCGACCCAAGGGTCGAACCTACGTCTCCTGGGTCTACTGCATTGGCAAGGCAGATTCTTTACCCTGAGCCACCTAGGAAGCCCCACTCTCATGTTTATTGCAGGATTATTCACAATAGCCAAGATATGGCTAGAACGTAAATGTCCATCAAAAGATGAACGGACAATGAAAATGTATTTATAGTTAAAAAAAGGAAATCCTGCCATTTGCAGCAAAATGGATAAATGTGAAGGTATTGCAGTAAGTGAAATAAGCAGATGAAGAAAGATGCATACTGTTTATTCTCACTTATATGTGGAATCTAAAAATGTCAATATCCTAGAAACAGAGTAGAATTATGGTTACCAGGGGCTGGATTTGTGGCATATGGAGGTTGGTTAAGCGGTACAAGTAAGTTATGGATATCTGATGTGCAACAGTGTGACTGCAATTAATGTTGTATACTTGAAACTCGCTCAGAAGGGAGATCCTAAGTGTTCTCATCACATACACCAAAAAGGGTACATGGATATGTTAATTAACTTGATTTGGTTGATTATTTTCTAGTGTATCACTTCAGTTCAGTCAGTCAGTCATGTCCGACTCTTTGTGACTCCATGAACCACAGCACGCCAGACCTCCCTGTCCATCACCAACGCCCAGAGTCTACCCAAACTCATGTCCATTGAATCGGTGATGCCATCCAACCATATCATCCTCTGTCCTTTTCTCCTCCTGCCCTCAATCTTTCCCAGCATCAGGGTCTTTTCGAATGAGTCAACTCTTCATGTCAGGTAGCCAAAGTATTGGAGTTTGAGCTTCAACATCAGTCCTTCCAATGAACATCCAGGACTGGTCTCATTTAGGATGGACTGGTTGGATTTTATAGTGTATGTTTATCAAATCAACAAGCCATAGATCTCAAATATATACAGTTTTTAATCAGCACTATGTGTCAATAAAATTAAGAGAAAAAGGTGGTTTTTTTTGGTTATTTTCCTCAGCCCTTTGCCTTTTACATATAAATATATGTTAGACCTGTATTTAAGCATAGATAAGTTTTGATGTAAGCCTACTCTGTTTATATAAGAAGAAAATCATTTTTGTTCTAGGTATATAGTTATATATTCTTTATACGTAAACATTTATCTTTGTTTTTATAGATTGCATGTGATTTAAGTATTTTATTAATAAAACCATATAAGCTTATTTATATTCCTAATTTTTCTTTTATGTTATTCCAGTAGTGCTGCTTGATTCATTAGACTCTGTTGCAGAAGTCAACCTTGATGAACCGGATAGAACAAAAACTGAGCCCAAGGCTCTGCCAGATATGACTGATAATGAAATGATAGGAACAGGTAAGAATGGGAAACTATAGCTAGTCTCTAAACATGTAAAATTTTGTGACTAGTTGAATTCATTTCTGGGGAAAATATGATATATAACCATGTATAATTATATCAATAAGATTTTATATTTTGTATTGAAGTATAGTTGATTTATAAAGTGTTAGTTTTAGGAGTGAATCAGTTATACATGTGTATGTATGTAGACATAGATACTCGTGTGTATATATATATTTTTAGATTCTTTTCTATTACACGTTATTACAGGATGTTGACTGTAGTTTTCCTGTGCCGTACAGCAGGCCCTTGCTGTGTATCCATCTTGTACATGGTGTGTGTGTCTGTTCACCCAAGACTCCTCGTTCATTCCTCCCTCAGTAGCCAGAAGTTTGCTTTCTGTGTCAGTGGGTCTGTTTCTGTTTTGTAAATAAGTTCATTTGTATCATTTTTTTAGATTCTGCATATAAGTGCTAACATACAGTATTTATCTTTCTCTTTCTGACTGACTTCACTTAGTATGATAATCTCTAAATTCATTTATGCTGCTTCAAATAACATTATTTCATTATTTTTCATGGCTGAGTAGTATTTCAGCACACATGCACGTGCGTGTGTGTGGGTATACATCACATCTTTTTTATCCATTCATCTATTGGTAGACACCTGGGATGCTTTCATGTTTTGAGTCTTGTAAATAGTGGTGCTATGATTACTGGGGTGCATGTATCTTTTTTGAGTTAGAGTGTTCATCTTTTCTGGATACATGCCCAGGAGCTGGGATTGCTGAATAATATGGGAACTCTGTTTTTAGTTTTGTAGGCAACCTCTCTGCTGATTTCCATAGTGGCTTCAGCAGCTTACATTCCCACCATCTGTGTAGGAGGGTTGCTTTTTCTCCACACCATCAGCATTTATTATTTGTGACTTTTTCATGATGGTCATTCTTCATGGTGGTGTGAGGTGATGTCACATTCTGGTTTTGACGTGGCATTTCTCTAATAGCGATATTGCGCATCTCTTCATGTGCCTGTTAGCTGTCTGTGTGGCTGCTTTGCAGAAATGTCTGTTTACGTCTTCTGTTCATTTTTGATTGTGGTGTTTTTTTTTTTTTTCCTATTGATCTGTTTATATATTTTGGAAATTAAGCCCTTGTCAGTTGCATTGTTTGCAAATATCTTCTCCCGTTCTATAGGTTTATGGTTTCATTTTGTTTATGGATTCCTTTTGTGCAAAAAGCTTATAAGTTTGATTTGGTTCCACTTGCTTATTTTTGCTTTTATTTCTTTTGCCTTATGAGACTTAAGAAAATATTGATACAATTTATATTAGATAATGTTTTGCCTGTGTTCTTTTCCAGGAGTTTAATGGTGTCATTTCTTATGTTTAAGTCTTAAGCTATTTTGAGTTTATTTTTGTGTGTGGTGTGAGGGTGTGTTCTAATCTCATTGATTTGCATGAGACCAACCAGCTTTCCTAACACCACTTGTTGAGGAGACTATTTTTTTCTCCTTTGTATAGTCTTGCCTTTGTTGAAAATTAATTGACCACAGGTGTGGGAGTTATTTCTGGGCTTTCTATTCTGTTCCACTTATCCGTGGGTCTGTTTTTATGCCAGTACCCGGCTGTTTGATTACTGTAGATTAGTGGTATTGTCTGAAGCCTGGAAGATATGCCTTCAACCTTTCTTTTTTTCCCTCACAGATTTGTTTTAGCAATTTTATTGTGGTTCCATATAAATTTTAAGATTATTTGTCCTAGTTCTGTGAAAAATGTCATGGGTAATTTGATAGGGATCACATTAAATCTGTAAGTTGCTTTGCGTAGTATGGCTATTTTAACAATAATGTTTCTTCCAATGCAAGAGCATGGAGTAGCTTTCCGTTTCTTTAAATCATTTTTAATTTCCTTCATCAGTATTTATAGTTCTCAGCATGTAAATCTTTTAGCTCCTTGGTCAGGTTTATTCCTAGGTATTTATTAAATAAGGGCTTCCCTGGTGGCTCAGAGGTTATTCACCTGTCTGCAATGCGGGAGACCTGGATTCGATCCCTGGGTTGGGAAGATTCCCTGGAGAAGGAAATGGCAACCCACTCCAGTATTCTTGCCTGGAGAATCCCATGGACAGAGGAGCCTGGTGGGCTACAGTCCACAGGGTCGCACAGAGTCAGACACGACTGAGTGACTTCACTTTCACTTTATTTATTAAATGCATTATTGAAAGGGATTTTTTTTCTTTTTCTGATATTTCATGTTAGTATAAAGAAATGCAACAGAGTTCTGTAACCTTGTATCCTGCTACCTTGCTGAATTCATTTATTAGTTCTAATAGTTTTTATGTGGAGTCTTTAGCATTTTCTATATAGAGTATCATGTCATCTGCATGTAACGACAGTTTTACCTCTTTCCTTCCAGTTTGGATCCCTTTTGTTTCTTTTTCTTGTCTCATTGCTGTGGCTCAGACTTCCAAAATATGTCAAGTAGGAGAGGTGAGAGAGCATCCTGTCTTGTTCCATATTTCAGTGGGAAGGCTTCCAGCTTTTCACTGTTGAGTACTATGTTGGCTGTGGGTTTGTCATGAATAGCTTTTGTTGTGTTGATTTATGTTCTCTCTGTACCCACTATGAGAGTTTTGATCATGAATTAATGTTCAATTTTATCAGATGCTTTTTCTGCATCTATTGAGATGGTTATATGGTTGTCTTTTCTTCTGTCGATGTGTTGTATGTATCACATTGATTGATTTGTATATGTTGAACCATCCTTGTCACCTTGGGCGGAATTCAACTTGATCATGGTGTCTGATCCTTTTTATGTACTGTTGGATTCTCTTTGCTAATACTTTGTTGAGGATTTTTGCATCTGTATTCATCAGAGATACTGGCCTGTAATTCTGTTTTTTGGTAGTGTCTCTGTCTGGTTTTGGATCAAGGTAATGGCGGCTTCACAGAATGACTGTGGGTGATCCCCCTCCTTTTCAGACCCTTAGAAGATCTGGAGAAGAGTCGGTGCAAGTTCTTTCTTGTGTCTTTGTTAGAATTCCCTAGTGAAGGCATCCAACGTGGACTTTTGTTTGTAGGGAGTTTTTTTTAATTACAGGTTCTATTTCACTTCTAGTAATTGGTCTGTTCACATTATCTGTTTATTCTTGATTCAGTTTTGGTAGGCTGTATCAACAATAAAATTTTCAGTCTCACATTTTCTACCTATTTTAACAAGTTAAATAGTCTGAACTTGCTAATGATGACACTTTATGCCAGTAGGCTGAGTGAAGTGTTTTAAAAGAAATACTTGTTATTAAATGCTGTTGATACAAAGTATGGTACTGAGATGAATATTAAATAATTTCCTGTGGCCACCCCCCCCCCCCCAATTCTGTTAAAGTTGCTATATGTAGGAGAATTGAGACTTTGTTTTTGTGCTTCTTTCTGGGTAGGAAAAAGCTAGATCACATCCTGAAATTCTGAAATGTGTAGGACCATCTGGATTTGACTAAAAGTTTGAGAGACCTTTAAGATAGTGCCTTTTCAAACTTTCTTAAAGCAGTGGAACTGTTAGCTACCTCCCAAATGGAATCTTAGGTAGTACTCTCTACATAGATACAAAATGTATTTTATCAGTACAAATATAAATGTTTACGTTTGTGACATTTACTTAAAAAGTTAGAACAGTAATGGTCTTTTGAAATTTTTAAAATTGTGTTACAGATACTTGTTACATTCTTATATCATCAAATTTCCAGTATGTTTGTATATATCTTTATTGTATAATATGAAAATATTTTTGGTTTACCACATAAACAAGTGCAAATGGGATCTTTTCAGCTTGCTTTTGCAAATCTTAGGTGACCAATATGGTCAACTAAATCAACCCAGACACTAGTCAATAAAAGAGCAATAGAAATGGTAAATCACTAGCCAACTCTAAACATCTGCTTGCATTTTAATTTACTTTTTATTTCTCTATGGCAGTATAATATACTTTTTTATGGCAGTATAATATATTTGTAGTAGAATTCATAGTGCAGTTTGATGAATTTTCAAGTACTGAACACATTCATGTCAGTGGCAACCAGATCAATAAACGAAGCATGATCAAAATGTCAAAGTCCACTCACATCTCTTATTTCTAGTCATTGCCATTCTAAGATTCACCACTGTCTTGTTTTGTTTACCTCCATTTTAAAATGTGAATATAACAGTTACAAAGTTAAAACAACAACAAAAAATTGCAACAGAAGTTTTCCATCAAAACATTACTCCTTTACGTGTTATTGCCTGACTGAATATTCTGCCATGATGGAAGCGGGTACTGGGCACATGTTCCTCAGTCATATTGCTGTTTTTATTTAAATACTTGTCATATGTGCTCTGGTAGTCTGCTTGCACTGTTTTCAGTAAGTAGATATGGATTCTTTTAAAAGACAAGTGTAGAGCTACAGCTTTTCTGATCAGTGATACATTATAGGAGGTTCATTTATATACAGGATGGCCAGAGAAACTTTTTTCTAAGATATGCATGATAACAAAGCAGAGGAAAGAGTTATCACTCTGCTCTTCATATTTTAAAATGAAAATTCAAACATCTGTGGAACCCATGATTTTCTCTGAATGAAAATCAGAGCAGTTTGAAAACTTCTGCTGTACATTATAAGAAGACTCAGAAATAAAAAACATATTGCTCGAAATAGAAACTCTAATATGATCTGGGAAATTATATAAAATTAAAAATTTTTGGTCTTGTTCTTAAACATTCTTGATTCTGAAATAATTTGGTGAGTCAGTTACTAGAAGAGTAGACTGTGACCTTACCGTCTTTGGTCTTGGACTTGTATTTCCAGCCTTGCCAGTTAACCAGCTGGGTGACAATGCACAATTAGTGCATCAAAGCCTGTTCCTCTTCTTTAAAATGACGTCATTTGATGATCAATTGAGATTGCGTAGTGCCTAGCATACTGTTACAGTTCAACAAGGAGGAGCAGCTCTGTGGTTCTCATCACTTTCTATTTCAGTACTGTTAATAGTCAAACTATAATAAAGAACCTGAAGGCATAAATACCTTTTGGCTATGAAGTATTAAATTTATCTACTGTTTACAAAAGTAGACTGGAAAATTTTCAAATCAGAGTCTGAGCTTGGATTAAGAACTGAAAGTATCAGCAGCTTTGTTTGTTTACCATGTGTCTTCCAGCCTTAAGCAGGCTCAGTTGAGGTGATACATTGTCAAAGATTTTTATCTCTTTTTATTTTGATAATACTGTTCATGAAACTTGTGCTTTACTGTCTTAAAAAGGTTGGAAACTATAAAATGATGGTCAGATCTCACCTTTTGCTTGTTTTCCTTTGTCTCAAGGACAGGGGCCACTTTGTGGCGTGGTCGTGTGACTGCAGCAGTCACAGGAGGACAGTGTTGGTTCACAGCCAGACCTTTGCCTCTGCCCAGTAGGATCTGACACTTCTCTGCCTCTTGAAGTAGAAAATATAGTGGGTTTTCGACTTGTGGTAATATATAAAATACATGCAAGAAGTCAGCCCTTTTCTCTCTATAAAATGCATAAAAAGGTTTTAACATAGAAACGACCAGAGAAAATATTTGAAGAGATGATAGCTGAAAAGTTCCCAAACCTGGGAAAGGAAATAGTCAACCAAGTCCAGGAAGCACAGAGGATTCTCAGGCAGGATAAACCCAAGGAGAAACATACCAAGACACATAGTAATCAAACTGATACAAATTAAAGACAGAGGTAAACTATTAAAAACAATAAGGGAAAAATGACAAATAACATACAAGGGAGCTCCCATTAGGCTATCAACTGATTCCTCAACAGAAACTCTACAAGCCAGAAGGGAATGGCATGATATATTTAAAGTGATGAAAGGGAAGAACCTACAACCAAGAAAACCGAGGAAGACTCCTTCGGGTTTGATGGAGAAATCAAAAGCTTTCCAGATAAGCACAAGTTAAGGCAATTCAGCACCACCAAACCAGCTTTACAACAAATGCTAAAGGAACTTCTTTAGGCAAGAAACACAAGGGAAGGAAGAGACTTACAGAAAGTAAACCCAAAACAATTAAGAAAATGGTAATAGGGTCATACATATCAATAACTACCTTAAATGTCAGTAGATTAAATGCACCAACCAAAAGACATAGACTGACTGGGTGGATGAAAACATGTGCATGTATGCACTTCCACTTATATCACTCTGCTTGACACACCCCCATTGTATGTAATTATTTTATTTTGTTAAGTTAATCATGTTCCCATTATGGATTGCAATTATAATTATCTTTTGTTTTTTTGTTTGGCTATTGATTGTGAAAACTGATAAACAGCTTTTACTCTTGTGATTATGTAACTATTACTTAATACCATTGTATCATAATTGGTCAGTAGAAAAATAATAGAACTCTTTATCACCAAAAATAGGATCTAATAGAAAAATCCACATGCATATCAGAATTATCTTGACGTTTTTTGAAAAAAATACAAATGCTCAAGTATTACTCTTTTTCTCCAGAGCTCCAGATATGTTTCTGATGAGCAGTCATGTTTAAAAACAACATGATGATCTTTTACTTTTATCTAGTATGTTTCACTTTTTCTATTTCATATTTAGTCCTCCCATTTCATTTAGTTTATGTTCTCCAATTTCTCCATCTCTTTGTTCTTTATGTTCTTTCTCAAGCCTTTATCAAGTATAGTAGAAAAGCTTTTGTATACATATATATATAAATACATATAATGTATATATTTTTAAAAACTTATAAATTTTTGCCTAACTAAAAAAATTGTGACATTCTGATTCCACTTGTTTGACTTAGTATGAATAGAATGCTAGATTTCTAATTAAAGGGCTTCCCTGGTGGCTCAGATGGTAAAGAATCTGCCTGCAGTGTGGAAGACCTGGGTTCAATCCCTGGGTTAGGAAGATCCCCAGTATTCTTGCCTGGAGAATCTCCCAGGACAGAGGAGCCTAGCAGGCTACAGTCCATGGGGTCGTAAAGACAGAGAGACTGGTGGTCTACAGTCCATGGGGTCACAAAGAGTCTAAAAAATAGATAACGCAATAAGCAACAAAAGTTTACTGTATAACACAGGGAACTATAGTGAATATCTTGTAATAATCTATGATGGAAAATAATTTCAAAAATAATATGTGTGTTTGCATAACTGAATCACCTTGCTGTGCATCTGAAACACTGTAAATCAACTGTAACTTCAACAAAATATATATATATATTGAAAAAAGGTCAACATCTATGACCCTGAAATTATTTTTAATATCAGTTGGATTAATGATTCAAATTAGGAGACAAGTACCTTTCCCTTGCTCTGTTTTCTGAGCAGCACCTAGTGCTTCTCCATCTTGCGTTTCTAATTTTTAACTTTTAGGTAATTTGCTTTTCCACATGTTTGCTCAGCTGTTACTTTAAGCCAAAACCACTTCTTTCTGGCACCTCATGCCTGTTAAATTAGGTATGAGCACTCAGTACTGTGATGCTGTTTCCCATTGGGATCATTTCTTTCATGCATACTCAGCAGATACTTAAGCATCCAGGTATTTCTCTAGAGGAGGCAAAATGTCTTCTGCCTTTTTCATTTCTTCATAAATTAATTCTCTTCTCCTTTTGAGTCTGATAGATGGTTTGGGGGAAAAAATATGCTTACTTTAGCAGGCAAGATTGTTTTCCTCAAGTCCTGCTGGACATCCCTGCCACTTAACTGTTAGTGATTCCAAACTGGTGGTATCCCCCACTTTTTAAATGTGTTTATCTATTTATTTACTTGGCGGCATTGGGTCTTAGTTGCAGCCTGTGGGATCCTCCGTGGTGGCGTACAGATTCTCTGGCTGTGGTGCACAGGCTCTGGAGTATGCAGGCTTCAGTAGTTAGAGCACTCAGGTTCTCTAGTTGTGGCACATGGGCTTGGTTGCCCTGCAGCGTGTGGGGTCTTAGTTCCCCGACCAGGGATCAAACCTGCATCCCTTGCATTGCAAGGTGGATTCTTAACCATTGGACCTCCAGGGAAGTTTCCTTCACTTTTTTGTTTTTAGTTTATTTAAGCAAATTTATTCCATATTGGGCAGGCTCCAAACAGCAATGGTGCCCTGATGACCTGAAGCAGCAGACGCAAAGCTATTCCATTGTGAGGCATTCTTACGTAATCACATGTGGTACCTGGTGCCCTCTTACACTTAGAGTTGAAACTAGTTCCTCAGAATTTTATACTGTGTAATTTACAGATTATATAGAGAAGGAGGAAGCTGTATATATGCTCTTTTATCTTTAGGCATTAATTAATAGTCACAGTTATCAAGAGAACAGGAGTCTGATCACCCTATTTCTCTTATTCTGCTCTTCTATGATGCTTTTATTCTTCTAATTTTGAAAATTCTGCTGTTAATAATGAAAAGTACAAGATGAGTAAGAAAATACTTATAAAAATCTTAGATCATCATTGTCATTAGATTCTTTGAATTCTTTTCTCCAGAGTTTATCAGTTGGTGGGAAGAGAAGGAGGTTAATAGGGACGGAAAAGTGAACTGTGACATGAGGTTCTCTGTTTGGGATAACTGGGTGACTGATCACGCCATAGCTAAAGTAGCAGATACTGGGAGCAGAGTAGATTTTGTTGGGGAATGTAACTAATTTACTTGAGGATGTATTAGATGTGATTTGCTTATAGAACAGTCTACATGTCTGTTAGGAAGTTCAGTGTTCAGAAAAGAGACAAGATAGATTAAACAGAAGACAGCTTTGGGAGTCAAATGTTTATGGGCAATTACTAAGCAAAGGGTGTTAGTGAAATTATCCATCACCCCCCCCACACACCTGTAAAAAAGAGAAGTTTGAAAATAGAGAGCTGAAGATGGAGCCCTGAGATGAGCTGTTTACCACAGAAGGTGGAAAAGCATCCATCAGAGCAGTGAGAAGAACAAGAAGGCATCATACAGAAGACACAGCCCCCAGGGAAAGAGCAGGGCCTCGTGTCTCACAGGGCAGAGAAGATCTTTCAGGCTGAAGGAAGTTAAAGGCTGGCTTTGTCTCCTAGGAAGTTTTTTTTTTTTTTTTATAGCAGCTTTAGCAGGGTTTTGGAACACACTGGACTGCAAAGTTAGAGGATTGAATTTCAGTTGAAGAAATGAAGAATACTAGATGGTTGGTGGCTCAGGAAAGCAGAGAGAGAGAAAGGTGGGGCGGGGGGCATGTGGAGCAGAGGAGAGACAGAATCCTTGAAAACTTTTTCTGTCAGTTTGAGAAATTTAGGAGTAGTTTTCTCCAGCTCAGAGAGGTTGTATAGGGATAGTGGGCAGAGATGGTTTTACAGGTAGCCTGTCGGAACACAGTTCAGCCTGCTGAAAGAGTCCCCGAGCCTGCTGAGACTGCACGCCGGCAGGCTGTGGCCGCCCTTACTGAGGTCTGTATTTCACTCTGTGTTATCGGCATTGTCCTACAGCCTCGTTCACCGCGCTTAACAGATGAACGGAGAACTTAGTGTTTTATGTTTCTCATGTATTTGTGCGGCTATGCTAGAGATTACGTTTATCTCAACAGGTATTTCTTATGGACAAAGCAACAGTGACATTGAAGCTCTACATCAGGCTTATTGTCACATAGCGCGTTCTTTGGGAGATGCGGATGAACAAAGAACTGAGAGCAATGCAGCAGAAAATACCAAGAGCTCGACAAAAGATCATCCTCAAGAAAATGAAGGCTCCTCTAAAAACATCTCTACTACAGAGTCAGGTAAAAGCGTCTTTGTTTGTGCCTCTCTGAACTGTTTTCAGTATGGGATAATTTAAATACAGTTGGCTGTAGTAGTGATTTCTTAATATCTGAATTTAAAAGTTTGTTTAAATAAATCTGGGAATTACCCTTTTAACTATAAAGTTAGCGTCAAAGATAGGTTAAAATTTTAATTCCTCCTCTAATATGCTTTGACCAAATTAAGAAATCTCTTGAATATTTTCACTTTTTTTTAATACTTTTCCATGAACATATAGTAATACTATTTTTTTTTAATGGAGAACAGTTTTGGGGGATCAACTAAATACATAATGTTTGTGGATATACCCATACACATATACTTAGAAAGAGGGAAAGAAAGTAGATATATATTTCAAAAAGAATACCAAAGATTTTTTTGGTACAAATAAGTTTACAGTGGGAACCTGGGATTATTATATGTATCATTTTGTTAACTATGTCAATCAGAGAAAATGTGATTTTTATGGTATTAGATGTTAAATTAAGCAATTTACATAACATTTTTGGTTGCTGTTTTAACTTTTCTTCCCTCAGATCTGCCCACAGTAGAGGAGCTGATGAAGCCTATCAGAATAGATTCCTTTGGGGTCAGTGATTTTGATTTACAACCCGTCAGGTATGAGTTTCTTGGAATGGATTGTGTAGGTTGTTTGTTTATTGTTTTGTCACTGCAAACTTCTAGAATCATTTGTTCTACCTAACGATTCCTAGTGAATGATTAAAGGTAGCTGGTATGAGTCTACCTGTGAGTGAGTCCTGTTTTCTTTTCCTATTAATCTTTACTCAGTTTATCAAAATTCATCTAGTTCTAAAATAAAAAAATAAACAATTGCTGCTAAAAAGTTGCTGCCCTTAGGTGGGTGGTCCTAAAGATTTTCACTGAAAAATAAAATCCCTTCAGCTCTAAATAGTTCAGGGACAGCTGATTCGAACACTGAGTGTGAACATGAATTTTATTCTTTGTGTGGGTCATCTACTCGCTTCCTTATAAACCAGTAAATTCTGCACTTAGTCACAGACTATCCATCATCTCCCAGGGTGAGATCTTGGGTCACAAGAGAAATGGGCTTCACAAAAATCTCCAGCTCCAGTACATTTTAATGACAGCTTACAGGACCTGGCTGTCATTCACCAGCACAGAGAATCATATCACAGTCACCTTGTCGTAGGACAGCTTGGCACCCATGCAGCACCAAGCGTGTTGCATCCGTTATCTCGTGAGATCTTCGTAACAAATAGGTCAGCATCTTTATCCCCACCGTTCAAGTGATGCACGTGAGGTAAGCAGACTTAACTGGTAGAGCTCTCACAGGAACCAGACAGTGATGACAATAACAGCTAACATTTTAATCACATGCTTATTGTGGACCAGGTGCTGTACAAAGCTCTTTACCTATCAGACTTTATTTAATCTTATAGCGATTCCATGAAGTCTATTCCATTATCATCCCCATTTCATAGATTAGAAACTGGGGCTTAAAGAGGTTAAATCAATTTCTCCAGATCATATGGCCATGACCCAGGAACACACTCAGATTGTCAGATTTTATCTCCATAAAATATTTCTGTGAAAAGCCTGTCATCTGTTCATGTATTCATTTGTTCATTTGTGTTTTAACAGACAAGTTTTTGAGCCCCTCTTTGAACTCCATCTTCATCATGTAAATCCACTTGCAGTGGTTTCTTGGTCTTTTTCCTGCGTCTGTGCTAGTTGAGACAGTTCAGTGTAGTTTGTACTAAAGCTCGTCTGGTTTTGTTGCCAAGTCATGTCCAACTCCTGTGGCTCAGTGCACTGTAGCCTGCCCAACTCCTCTGTCAGTGGGACTTTTCAGACAAGAATATGGAGTGGGTTGCCATTTCCTTCTCCAGGGGACTTTCCCGACCCTGGGTTGAACTCTGGTCTCCTGCAAAGCAGGCAGATTCTTTACCAACTGGGCTATTAGGGAAGTCCATCTACTTGAATACTAAGTCTAGATTCTTCCACTGATCTGCAGTGCTAGTTAATAGTTTTAAAAGGCAGTTGTGCTCACATAATTGTTGCTGTTTTGGGCTATGCTAGTGTTACTGAAGAGTTTTTTTGTTTGTTTTTTACACATCTTGTGTCTTTGTTGGCTTCAGTTCAGTTCAGTCACTCAGTTGTGTCCAACTCTGTTGTGACTCCATGGATTGCAGCATGCCAGGTCTTCCTCTCCATCATCAACTCCCAGAGTTGACCCAAATTTATGTCCATTGAGTCAGTGATGCCATCCAACCATCTCATCCTCTGTCGTCCCCTTCTCCTCCTGCCTTCAATCTTTCCCGCCATCAGGGTCCTTTCAAATGAGTCAGCTCTTCGCATCAGGTGGCCAAAGTATTGGAGTTTCAGCTTCAACCTCTGTCCTTCCAATGAACACTCAGGAATGATCTCCTTTAGGATAGACTGGTTGGATCTCCTTGCAGTCCAAGGGACTCTCAAGAGTCTTCTCCAACACCACAGTTCAGAAGCATCAATTCTTTGGCAGTCAGCTTTCTTTATAGTCCAACTCTCACATTCATACATGTATACTGGAAAAACCATAGCCTTGACCAGACGGACCTTTGTTGGCAGAGTAATGTCTCTGTATTTTAATATGCTGTCTAGGTTGGTTATAACGTTCCTTCCAAGGAGTAAGTGTGTTTTAATTTCATGACTGCATTCACCATCTGCAGTGATTTTGGAGCCACAAAAAATAAAGTCTGCCACTGTTTCCACTGTTTCCCCATCTATTTGCCATGAAATGATGGGACCAGATGCCTTGATCTTAGTTTTCTGAATATTGAGCTTTAAGCCAACTTTTTCACTCTCCTCTTTCACTTTCATCAAGAGGCTTTTTAGCTCCTCTTCACTTTCTGCTATAAGGGTGGTCCCATCTGCATATCTGAGGTTATTGATATTTCTCCCAGCAATCTTGATTCCAGCTTGTGTTTCATCCAGCCCAGCGTTTCTCATGGTGTACTCTGTATATAAATTAAATAGGGAGGGTGTCAATATACAGTCTTGACGGACTCCTTTTCCTATTTGGAACCAGTCTTTTGTTCCATGTCCAGTTCTAACTGTTGCTTCCTGACCTGCATACAGGTTTCTCAAGAGGCAGGTCAGGTGGTCTGGTATTCCCATCTCTTTTAGAATTTTCCAAAGTTTATTGTGGATCCACACAGTGAAAGGCTTTGGCATAGTCAATAAAGCAGAAATAGATGTTTTTCTGGAACACTATTTTTTTTCTTTTTTTTAAAATTTATTAGTTGGAGGCTAATTACTTTACAATATTGTAGTGGTTTTTGTCATAAATTGACATGAATCAGCCATGGATTTACATGTATTCCCCATCCCGATCCCCTCTCCACCCGATTCTTCTGGGTCTTCCCAGTGCACCAGCCCCGAGCACTTGTCTCATGCATCCAGCCCGGGCTGGTGATCTGTTTCACCCTAGATAATATACATGTTTCGATGCTGTTCTCTCGAAATATCCCACGCTCACCTTCTCCCACAGAGTCCAAAACTCTGTTCTGTACATCTGTGTCTCTTTTTCTGTTTTGCTTATAAGGTTATCGTTACCATCTTTCTAAATTCCATACATATGCGTTAGTATACTGTATTGGTGTTTATCTTTCTGGCTTACTTCACTCTGTATAATGGGCTCCAGTTTTATCCATTGCATTAGAACTGACTTTGATGATCCAGCGGATGTCAGCAATTTGATCTTGGCTTCTCTGCCTTTTCTAAATCCAGCTTGAATATCTGGAAGTTCACGGCTCACGCACTGCTGAAGCGTGGCTTGGAGAATTTTGAGCATTACTTTATTAGTGTGTGAGATGAGTGCAATTGTGTGGTAGTTAGAGCATTCTTTGGCATTGCCTTTCTTTGGGATTGGAATGAAAACAGACCTTTTCCAGTCTTGTGGCCACTGCTGAGTTTTCCAAATTTGCTGGCATATTGAGCACTTTCACAGCATCATCTTTTAGGATTTGAAAAAGCTCAACTGGAATTCCATCCCCTCCACTAGCTTTGTTCGTAGTGATGCTTCCTAAGGCCCACTTGACTTCACATTCCAGGATGTCTGGCTCTAGGTAGCATCATTTTAGTAATGTGGATTCTAGTATGGATTTTTGCATTTGTGTTTAAGAGCTGAAAACAAGTGTACTTACATTAAAGGCATAACAATAATCATGGAAATGTCAGTAGTATAAACCCTAGTATACTTATCAAAAAACGTTTTATAGTAACCTAGGATAAGTAATTCTACCTGCTGTAACAACAAAAAAATCCCTCGAAATTTTAACAGTTTAGCATCATCAAAAATGTATTTCTTGCTCACATCATAATTCCATGTATCTCAGTGGAGTTGGGGTGGGACTCTGGTCCACATAGTCTGTTTAGGGACCCAGGCTGTTTCAGTCATCAACACACAGCTTTAAGGTTCTCATGGCTTCATGTAAAGAGTCTACAAGGAGAGAAAAAAGATGGTTTAGCGTACTTCCTTTTAACTGCCTCAACAGAAATGTTACATCACTTCAGTCTATATTCTGTTGGTAAGAACCAGCACCTCTAGCCAACATGATCCAAAAGGAATGGAAAATGGTTTGCTTTTGTACCCAGAAAGAAAGTCAGTGCGTTTGGTAGGCATCTAGCCTATCTCCTCCAGTATCTCCACTTCTGTCAAATATCCATTCCACTCTTCTTCATACAAAGACCTACTTCACACAAAGACCTACTCAGCTCCTCCCCAAAGCAAACTCCCATTTAAGATTGTATTCATCTGAAAGACCAGGATTTCTAGGTGAAGCACAGTTCTCTTCATCAGGTTTGAATATAGCTCCTCATTGTCCGCTAATCAGTGAATTAAAAAGACAAGTTACTACTTCCTTACCCACACCCCTCCCATTCAGAAAGGAAAAGTATGAGAAGAAAGTAATAGCCATCAGTAATGCAACTCTTAAATCCACTGAAAGACCTTATAAGGAATTTTCCTTAATTACGCCATGATTCTGCTCTTAAGGAGGAACTACCAAGTAACTATTGTTTCATATAGCTCTTGGTTCCAATCCTTGAAGAATTTGTCTTGTATTTTATCACCTGAAGTGAAGTGGTTTTCAGGGGGAAGGTATGCCCTTGGAGGAGGTGATCATTTCTCCATCTGCTTTCTGCCTGCAGGTGGTTTTAAGGCTCCCAAACAAGTCTCTAGCCTTTTTTCTTTTTTTAAGAAGAGTTGTGGTTTCTTTGTCATTACAGTTCCTTCAGAAAGCTTATTAGACTTCTGATGTACTTGGTTCCAGTTAGTCCCATGTGCCAGTAACTACACTTAACGTTCTTTGCTAGACAAAGGTTTTAAATCTGTCTTATGTCTGCTTCCTTATTTCCTCTGTTTTTTTCTCTCTCAGTTGCAGCTGTCTGAGTATATTATTAGGAACAGTAACCTTAAGTTTGAAGATGACACTTAGAATAATATTATATTTGCCAAGGGACTGAGTCTCTTTTCAACCAAAAAGTCTCATTGGTATCTTGCTTTTTCATAGCATTTTGTAATGCTGAATCTTACTGTTTGAGTTTAGACACCAAGAGTGAACCTAAGACACCTTAAATGCCCAGACTTCATTCCCTCTGGTTTCTTCTTAACAAACCAACCCATTCTATCTTGAAATTATTTTTTTCTCATAATATCTTGTCAAAAGTAGCTAGTGGTAGCTGGCACTTAAAAACTGCCTGTTCTCTCCTACTATTTTCTTAGTTCCCTAGACTGGGTAGCCATGTGGTCTGCCTTATAAACTGTTGTAGGTGACAGTTTAGCAAATGTTCTGTTACCATAAAACATGGGTTGTTACCTCTCCAGTCTCTGTATCAATTTCCTTGCCACCTAAAACCCACCTACTAAGCCTCGTATTTTCTTGTCATCATAGCACTCACATTCTAAAGACAAGAACTAGCGTGTGGCCCCGTTTTAGACTGAAGGCAGTGATGAAATGTAGTTCAGTCGGTTCACAGCAAGAAAGGGGAACAATTATGATAATAATCAGGTTCTGCTACCATTAAGAAGGAAACAACTGTTATCAATATACTTTCTGATTATTACAGCTACTTCAAGTATTTCTAACAATTATTAAGAAGCCAATCTATCTTATGTGAAAATGGTAGCCTCTTAAACTTTCCTTTTATCTTATTTTACAAATGTAAAAATCAAGTAACCTAATGGGCCATGATCTAGTAATTCAAAAATGACAATATACATATTTCTGGAACTCCCATAATATGCCAATATTTAATCACATTTATAATATTTCTTTAAGGGATAGTTTCCATATTTTCAGAATCTACTGATCTGAAATGTAACATTGCATTTAAGTGTTTTAAAATAAAGGAATGATATTATTTTAAACTCCTAGTGATTTTTCTTGTTTCACTTAAAAAATTTCCTGTACTGTGGATGAAATTATTCATTTTAATATTTATGTTTTATGCCTTAATTTAAATTATGGTCACTTCTTAATTTCTTCTGCTCTATGTACTTAGTTGCTCAGTCATGTCTGACTCTTTATGATCCCATGGACTGTAGCCCCCCAGGCTCCTCTGTTCATGGGGATTCTCCAGGCAAGAATACTGGAGTGGGTTGCCATGCCCTCCTCCAGGGGACCTTCCCAACCCAGGGATTGAACCCAGATCTCCCACATTGCAGGCAGATTCTTTACCAGCTGAGCCCCCAGGGAAGCCCAAGAATACTGGAGTGGGAAGCCTATCCCCTCTCCAGGGGATCTTCCTCAACTAAGAATTGAACCAGGGTCTTCTGCATTGCAGGAGGATTCTTTACCAGCTGAGCTACCAGGGAAGCTAGAAATGTGTAAAATATTTTTCCTGCCTCAAATGCATGTTGACTTTATGAGCTATATTACAAAAAGGCAATTTAGAAATTCACTTTTAAATTTTTCTTGGACAAAAGCAATCTCAGTCTTGTTTGGTTTGTCTTTCCTTTGAAGTGGGTCTCAGAGTCAACCATGAAGTCCCTTATGCAGCATTGAAATTACTATTTTAAGACAATTATGTGATGCTGTAAGTTTACTGTCTTAAACCAGAATTGTAAATAATATGTTTAACATTAGTAACCTAATTTAAACTTTTACAAATATTAAATATATTTAATATTATATATTAATGTAAATATGTTTTTATGTAATATGTATACACATATTAATAAAACTGATATTTGAGGACTTACATAGGGTTCATTCTCTGTGTCATGTTTTGTTTTATAGCTATAAGAAACTGGCTGAGAATAAAGAAACTGAATTTGTTAGCCCTTTACCCCTTAAGATTAACCCAAATGTTGTGTCTCAAGAAGCACAAACTGTGAGCCAATTTCTGGACAAAAATGAAGAGAATGTAGTTTTAGAAAAGGCAACAAATGAAGGTACAGAAAATAACTATCCAAGAGTAAATACTGTGGAAGAACAAATAGATAAAATGTACCTTGATATTTTGAAGAAAAAAATATCTGTTGGTGCTTCATTATTACCTCAGGATGACAAAACAAATAAGGTAAGGTTTTATAATTTGAATTGATTTGGTATACTGATAAAGGAAGCTATGTAAATACTGTTGAGAAGTGTGTATTTCCCAAGGTAGTGGGATCGCTCACATACTGACCTCCACATAACTCCTGGATATCTGTGAGCAGTATCTATTACAACACTCTGCGGTCCCCAAATTTAAAAATACCACTGTAGCATTAGCTCTCTTTAAGAAGGCATTCCGTGTATTTTCCTTTTTTAGTAAACGTAGTCTAGAGTTTGAGCAGCAGCAAATTCAGTGCACTCATCATCCTAGTCACCTAGTGGTCTGTGTTGTACAACAGTGGGTAAGTTGGCGTTTTGTACACATGCTGCTCACAGCTCTTGAGAAACTTACATTTCACTGTTCCTTTTTTCTCTGTTCTTGATTTATTCTGATTATATATAATCAGACCATGACCACAGTATTCCATTTTTATTTTACAGTTTTGAGTTATGTGTTTACCATAAACTATCACCTTATAGAATAAGGCAGGGTACTAATCGATTTTTACATTGAGAGCTCTGAAGAAAAAAGATAAAATTTTTGTCATTTCAAAACTTGTTCTTCTCTGCTTTCCTCCATGTTCATTCATTGCTTTCTGGCAAACTTATTTTGTTTAATTATTTTGCTTTGTCTTACTCTTGATTTTGAAAATGTTGGTTCCAAATATTAAAATTCTGATGAATTAGTTTAGAGAACTTTAATATAATGGTTTGCCTTCTATGAATTATGTTCTTTAGTTATCAATATGATTTTACTACCTGTTAATCTTATTTGCAACTGTAGTTGAAGTTTATTTAAGTACTAAAGAGTTTGTACTTGTATGCAGACTTTAAGATCTCAGCTTGATTCTGGAGAAGGGACTGTAACTGGTAAACAGCTACCGTACAAGAAGGCCAGAAGTGCACCTCCTTTATTTAAAAGAAAACCCCAGAGTGGACTATATGCATCAGTTAGGAGTTCAGGGTATGGCAAACCCAATTCACCATTCAAGACATTTTCTAATCTTGAAAAGAAAACTTCAAAGGACATCATGAAGAGCAAAAACTTGAGATCTATTCCTGCCTCAAATCAAAGTAGGAAAAAAGGTAATTATTAAAATAGTAAAAATAAAAAAATAATAGATTATTTTCCTTGTTCTCTGCTTTCCTTGTTTCCTTTCTCCTTCTATGAACTTTATTTATTAATAGAAAAAAATGAGTTGTAAGTCATTGCATTCCTTTTCTGAAAGATTCAATTCTGTTGAGTTCAGGAGGTTTTTCATCATTAGTTCTAGGTCTTCCTGAAAGAAACCCAGGAAGTATAGGAAGTGAATAGAGTCCAACTCCTCATCTGGCTGGCTTTAAAATATCCAAAATGTTTGCCAGAGCAGAGCCATCAATTCAGAATCAAGTGGCAATGTACAGGTGAAGGTTGATCCGGAAAGAAATACCTGGGTATGAGTTCAGTATAGACTTTGGAGAGTCAAGATGTTTTCTGGATCACAGAATGCCTGCTTCTATATGTCACGGTTCAGGTTGGTTCAGTTCAGTCTCTCTGTCATGTCCAACTCTGTGCGACCCTATGGACTGCAGCACACCAGGCTTTCCTGTCCATCACCAACTCCCGGAGGTTGTTCAGACTCATGTCCATTAAATCGGTGATGCCATCCAACCATCTCATCCTCTGTCGTCCCCTTCTCCTCCCGCCTCTTGTCACAGTGCCTCCTAATCTAGTTATTTCCTTATTTAGTCATTTGTTAATATGTTGGCAGTAGGCAAGGGTAATTTTCCACTTAGAAGCCCATGTTGCTAGTAAAAGAAATAGAGATGTTTGACTTAGACCCACATTTCTGTTGCCTTTGGACTTCATTGGGGAAGGGAGGGCAATAGAGCCAGAAGCATTTTGTCCTTTTCTGTATGATTAAATCGAATAGGTGACCAGTTCCATCATTGCTACCTGGTAACAATAGTTGTCAGAGGAGAAATAACCTCATTGGAAAATTTACTTCTGCCTTAGAGTGCTTTCCCTTGCCTTTCCCTGCAACTGTCAATTTCGGACCACTTTGACTGTATTTAAAATTCTTTCACATCAAAGATTCTTTTCTTCTGTCTATGCTTGTGCATATTCGCTGCAGAAACTCCTGCGTGTAAGCTGGAAAGGCTGGGACTGACCCGTGTGAGCAGGGTAACAGCAGTCAGGGGTGGGTCTTCTGGAGACACAGAATTGTACTTGCTGGCTTAATGCAAGCATCCTTTCCCCCTGTTCTCAACCTGTGGACCTCTAATCCCTTCCTCTAAGAAGTTTCCTGTGATTTCGTTTTCTCTTACTTTTCTGTGAAACAGCTAGAGGGAAGGAGAAAGGCAAGCAGGTGAACGAACAGACAAAACGTTTTATAAGGATAGAGCACACTTTGTAAGTTCTTTCAAAATAAATATTAGATTTAGTTTTACTTAAATCCTTAAGGAAAATAAACTTCCTCCTAAGAAATATTATATCCCAAAAGATTGTTTTAATAAAATAGACCATGAAAACCCCTGAAAGGTTGCTAAAACCATGTTGTTGTTTTTACCTACATTTTTCAATTCTATACATTATCAGTTTCCCTTCTATTAAATATGAAGTAGTTAAACCCCCACTCACATGCCTGCTGCTCATTTTTGTTGGTTTTATTTTTACTTGTTCAAAATATATCTATTATATTCTCTCCAGCAACTGTAATTCCCCACAGGTTTTGAATGTGGATCTTGGTTCTGGCTGTTACAGGACCAGAATGCTTTTCACTAGTCCCTTAACCATCACTTTCTAGAATTATTTTGGTTGGTTTCTCATTTGACTAAATTTTCTTAATCCATTGTTTTTTCAAGAAGGGCTCATGAGTTCCAAACACTGCACTTTTCACGTTTGAATTTTATATCCAAGCAAATTTTCTTTCATGTATAAAGAGAAAAGATATTGTCCATGTACTGTTACTGAAAATAATTACCTAAGGAGACCAAAATTAAGAACTCAGGAAGGAAGAATTCTGGCATAAAAGCCCTGGCTGACTGCAGCTTGAGCAAGAACCACTTGTCATTCTTGGCTGCCATGTCCTTGGAAGAATCACAATGCTAGCAGATCACACCCCATTCATTGGCCATGTTAATTGGACCTCCAGTGACTTGGAAGGTTTAATGCCTACTTTTACAATGACTCAAACTGTTCCTTTATGAACAGTGTAAGAAGTTTTCTCCAGAAAAACCTTCCACATCACAAGTCCAATTAAATATGATTACTACTATATGAGGAAACACTGGCATGCCTGGAAGAGAAGAGAAGGAAATCTCAGGGTGAGGTCGTGTTGGGGACTTGCTGTTTCTTTTGACTTTTCTATATTTTCCAAATCTTTAATGACCATGTGTTTTAACTTCAATGAAAAAGCCAACCTTGCATTTAAAAAGTTGGCATCTTAAAGAAATTATATTAAAAATATAAGTTTCGAATGTTTCATTTACATCTAAGGCAATCAAGTACATGTTTATGCAATATTCAGTTCAGAATCTGTAATAGTAGAATATGGGCCTGAGGATCTCTTCTCAGTATTTCCGTTAATTTTTTTTTTATTATAAACTGAGCAACTTATTGGTCTTAGAATTATTTCTTCTTTTTGTAAGATTTACAAGGTACCTTAAAAACTGAAAATTTGACTGGAGTGTGTGTGTGTGTGTGTGTGTGTGTGTGTATGTATAAACCACATTTTTTTCTAATTTAATAAACAGGGTATTATAGCAGTTTTATCATTTTATTTTTAATCAGATTTTAAACTACTCGTTATGAGGCTTGTGTGAAATTTATATTATTCCAGTGATACTATATCTTGATATACATTATTTATAAAAATTGTGCTTTGAAAATATACTTTAATCTGAACTGAAATATTTCATTATCAGCTGCTCTTTGATTCATCATTTAAATACTTCTATTTGTTATTGCTATGAACATTTAAAATGATGACGTATTGAAGAATAATGAAACCTGAAATTATCCTAATCCACATTCTCCTCACATTTACTGAGCTCCATCTGCCGTTTCATATGAATCTTGGGTCAAGAAGCCTTCTGTGTCAAATCGAATAGGATGTTGGCTGTGGGCTGGCATTCCAAGCGCAGGGAAACAGCTGCCTTGCAGTGTCTGTCAGGCATTGGCCTCCTTTGAGATGCGCATTTGTCTTAGTGTCCTCACTGGATTAGTACTTACTGTTAAATAATTGCCTGAATACACACTCAAGATGGTTTGTATTTGTGGTGTTTTATCCATTGTTCACAATATTTAGAAATCTTACCTGCAACAAAGCTGATCAAGCCTGCATCTTTGGGTAAACCAGCTCCCCAGACTGAAAGCTGGCTGGCTACTCCTAAGTCGTCCGAGGGCCCCACAGAAGTTGACTCCTGTGTTCAGTTTCAGAATGTAGGTATTAGATTTTAAAATAATATTCATACTGTTTTATGTTCTATATATACTGAAGCAATTATAAAAAATGAAATATTTGAAATTTCTTTTGTGTTGACGGGTGCTCATCACTTTTATTGAACAAGTATTGATCTTCTTGATTGATAGAGTATTGTTAAACATGTCATTTTTATTCTTTGTGGGGTTTTTGCCCCCAACCACCTATGTTTGAATCTATTATGTAACTCTACATAATGAAGTAATGCTTTTCATTAAAAGGATTCTTCAGGATACCATGGTGGGAACAAGGAGACAGAATTGCTTACGTTTAAAAGAGTTCAGGAAGCAGAGGAAAAATGGAAGAGTGCCCAAGCTCTGATTGAGCAAATTAAAGTCACTTTCTCAGAAAAGGAGAAAGAGCTGGAAAATAAGATGGAGGAACTAAAGAGACAACAGGAAAAGGAACTCTTCAGACTGAATCAAGACAATTATATTCTTCAAGCCAAGGTACTAGACACATTGTCCTATTTCTCCTTTTATTTATTAAAAAGAACTTGTACTCTCTGCTAAATGCATTGTTATTTTCTTGTCCCTGGGGCCTCTTGACTTGATATATTTGCTGCATAAAACATGAACATGGTTCCTGACAGTGCCTCCTTACGAAAGAGCCTACTTGGAATCCTTGGGGGGAAATCAAAAATTAAATTAGTTCATTTTTATAGTTTTCTTGTTAGCAGTCTTTTTTGAAAACTAATCACTTGGTTCACTGTGACCTTCAGGGAAGACAAGTTTCAGAAGGAAAGCTTTAGAAGTTCTAGATTCAGGAAAGTGACACTGTGTAGCATTTCTTGAGTTACTTCCGCCATCAGAACCATCAGTACAAAGCATCACTGTAGTGACTTAATTGTAGTTGGTGTTACGATAATTCTAGTGTGCTTATAAGACAGTCTTAGGTCTATACACCTGGAATTTTCTGATGTTTTTCCTCACTTCTCACTATATCATTTTCTTCCCCAAATGAAACAATACCTGCGTTTTCTCAAAGTTGAGTAGCTTTGAAGAAGCAAGCAAAAAACACAGGTGGTTGCATTTGGGAGAAACAACTGATCCTGTCACTGAAGAAAAATTGAAGCAAATCCAAAAAGAAATACAGGAACAAGAGGTGCTTCTTCAAGGATATCAGCAGGTATGGCTCTTCAGCACAAAGTTAGTCTTGAGATTCTTTGATTATAAAAATAAGGCATTTAAAAATATTTCTGCATCCATTTAACAAGTAATGGCAATGTAAGGAAGTAGTAATTTGACTGGTTTGTGCATTTTTTATGGGGAGAATTAAAGCGGTTAAGAGCATGGGTTCTGGATTCAAAAAAATCTGATTTTAGATTTTGCTTCACTACCTGCTCTATAGCCTTAGGCAAATCACATTACCTCTCTCTGGCAGTTTCCTCATCTGTGAAATGAGGATAATAATACCTGTCTCAACGCATATGTATGGAATTTAGAGAGATGGTAACGATAACCCTATTTGCAAAACAAAAAGAGACACAGATGTACAGAACAGACTTTTGGACTCTGTGGGAGAAGGCGAGGGTGGGATGTTTCGAGAGAACAGCATCGAAACATGTATATTATCAAGGGTGAAACAGATCACCAGCCCAGGTTGGATGCATGAGACAAGTGCTCGGGTCTGGTGCACTGGGAAGACCCAGAGGGATCGAGTGGGGAGGGAGGTGGGAGAGGGGGGATTGGGATGGGGAACACATGTAACTCCATGGCTGATTCATGTCAATGTATGGCAAAAACCACTACAATATTGTAAAGTAATTAGCCTCCAACTAATAAAAATAAATGGAAAAAAAAACAATACCTGTCTCACAATGGTTGTGAAATTAAAATAAGACTGCAGATCAACCTCTTCCTGCCTTCCGCACAGTAACCAGTTAGTGCATGTTGGCCTGTTAGTAATTCTAATGGTCAGATTTCCTTAGAAACTGTCTTTTTTTTGCTTTGAAAGTGTTAGTCACTCAGTCATATCCAACTCTTTCCAGCACCAGGGACTGTAGCCTGTCAGACTCCTCTGTCCTCGGGATTCTCCAGGCAAGAATACGGGAGTGGGTTACCATTCCCTTCTCCAGGGGATCTTTTTTTTTTTTTTTCCGTAGTAATATTGACTAGTTTTGATACTATATTGAGAACTATAAATTTGAAATCAGTTGCCAATGCCTTGAGAGTAAAAATAAAAAATGAATTAAATGGGAGAAACTGTGTGTGTTCTGCGGAAGCCTTACGTTGGTTCTCTGTGATAATGGAGTCTTGGTGGTATTGACCGTCCACCGGGGCAGGTCTGGCGGTCTTCCAGCATGAGGCTTGTCTTAGTTTAACTTCTCTATTCTTTTCCTCTGTCTCATTCCTTTTTTCTCTTGACAACTGTAACCTAAGCATCCAGCCTCACAGTAACAAGCATTTTCATTCTGGGGACATCCAGAGAAAGCATTAGCACATCAGAAATTACAGCTTTTCTTTTTACTGTTTATATATTTTTTCACTGGTCTCAGTTGGGGCACTCAGGACCTCGACTTCTTTGCAGCATGTGTGGTCTTTAGTTGCGCATGTGAACTTGTCATTGCGGCACATGGGATCTAGTTCCCTGACCAGGAATTGAACCCAAGGCCCCTGCATTGTGAACACAGGCAGAGTCTTAACCACTGGACCACCTGAGAAGTCCCCAGATAGTCCTGCTGTAAATCAAATAGTATGGATTTTGCAAGATACCTGGCCCTGGAGTTAGTTAGCACCTTCCAAACCCTCCCTGCCATTCTGAGCTTGCTATATATAGAGCATGGGTTTTAAAGCAGGATTTCACAGACCTATGATTTTGCCAACCACCCACTCCCATAAAGATAACATGAAATTGATGTGTCTATGTATATATGTATGTGTTTTTCTGAGTTTCATTAATTCTGCCGAAAATCACCCACAAACTATGTGTCAAGCACTGGGCCAGACATGGTGAGACAGTTCATGGTTTTCATGAGATCCTCAGCGGTCCTTGGTTTTCATCAGTTTCTTGATTTTAAAGAGGTTAACAAGCCAGAGTATCTGAGCACAGATGGGTACTTTCTCTCCTATCCTCATTGTTTGAGTCCCTCTTTAGCTCAAGCCAGATGCTGTACTGGGTCTAGTCTATATACTCACTGCCCTGATCTTCTGGAAACACCCAGTCTCTAACTCCCTGCTCACATAAAGTTTCAGAAACAAACATGGATACCCACTGTGGCTACATCCAGTTAGCTCACTGCAGAAAGACAGGCCAAAAGCAGGAAAAAGAGCCAACAGCCCCAGTGGCCTTTCCATCCCAGGCACACAAGTCAGGATGTGGTTCTTCCTGCAGTCACTGGTCCATTTACTCCCATGAAATGCAGTATATTACTCTGACGGGCTGTTTGGTTTGGGGAATTTTTTTTCAACTAATCATTTTGAACATTTTAGAAAGAACTGTTCTCGGATTACAGATTTTCTTCTGAGACAAAAAGTTTGAAAAAGATGTTGCTTACTCAAAAACTGAAGAAATTGAAAAACCTTTAAAATTGCTTAAAGGATATATCTTTTATGAGCAGATAAACTTACATAAGTACTACTGGTTTTTAACTAAAATGTAATTTTCTGTTTATAAAAAGGAAAATGAAAAATTGTATAATCAAGTGAAAGATCTCCAAGAACAAAACAAGAAAAATGAGGAGCGAATGTTCAAGGAAAACCAGAGTTTATTCAGCGAATTAGCTGCCTTAAAGTAAGTCCTTTTTAAATTCTTAAGATCAAATATACTTGGGACTATTTCTAAGCATTTTATTATTAATAATACATTTAGTTATACTTAGAAATTATAGAAGTTGTACACTGATTTACAGTTCTGTAACTTTTATATTTTTCATATTCAGTGATTCTCTTTGGTGTTCAATGATCAGTACATACTTTAGTATTTTCAACATATTGGTATTGGAGTTTCACATCAATTTCAGGAAACTGAATTATTCCTTTTAAACCTGAGATACTTAGGTAATATAATAATAAATAATAAACTACAATATTATTTACTGTGTTAGGTCAGGTTGTATACAAGTAGAGCCTGAGATGGGGATCTTTGTGGAGGTGCTTTCCTGGAAGATAACTCTTAGGAGAAGGGGCAGGAGAAGCGAGATGAGGTGGGGGTGGGGGTGGGTGGTGAGAGGGAAAATCAGTGAGACTGAGTCTCGGCTGGAGGCTGGCTTCATTCCACTCTCACCAGGACGTGCAGGAGAATAGATTTCATTGCATAGTTGGTTCCTACTTGAGGCAAGTGGAGAGCGGCCCTTTGAACCCCGCAAGGCAGTCTGTCACTGGATGAAGTGGGCCCCGGGAAGCAGGTGGCGGGTGTCCTCTGGGGCAGGGGGCAGGAGCTGCTGTTCGGCAAGGAAGTTTCTCCAGAGAAGGAGAACCTGGGAGTTACTACAACAAACACACCATGGCAGGCTGACAGAGCGCTCACACCCACTTACGAACCAATCATACTTCAGACTGTAAGGTCTTTGGGATGTTACTGTGTCCCTCTTTAATATGCTAAGTGAAAGAGCTGAACCACCAGACATGGGCAGGCCAGGGTTCTGTCTTTTTCTAGGAAATGACTGCCAGCTGTGCATCATTTCACCCCAACACCTGAAATCTCAGCTAGAACCACTATCCGAAGAAACATCTTGGACTGTGAATGTACATGTACATTATGTTTCTCTACATTTTTTTGTAAGATAATTTAGGGCATAAGAGACACGGCTGCTGTTAGCTCACACTGATCTTTCATGCACAGGAGAAAAAGGCGCACCTTGTAGCAGACAGAGCTAGAAAGTACACAGGTTGGCAAGTTGAGGACACTTTTGTATAAATTGGGGGGTCACCCCTTTCTCCTGGTAAGTGTGACCCCCCCCATGCCAAGGCTGATAATCTGCATAGTTCTGATGCCCCATGGCTTCTACATCTGCTTTCTTCACAGATGCTTCAACAAAATATTTTAAAATTTTATAATCTTATACTGCCTAGCTTTTAAAAGAGAAGATCTATTCCTGGCTCCAAACCTGAAGCTCTAAATGAATTTCCACAATGGAATAAATGGTTTCTTTAGACTTAGATGATCATATACAGATTCCTAAACTCCTTGTACAGTGTTCTCTGGAAAAATAAAAGAAAAACTGACTTGAAGTTACCAGTACTAGACTGTGTTTGGTTTTGTTAGTTTCCATGGGTATGATTGGCAATTTGTGTGTCTCAGAAAGGAGTCTAGAGTGATACGACAGGGAGTACGGAACACCACAGGGGAAATGCAGTAAGTCTTTCCCAGACATTGATTTTCTTTTTTCTGAAAATTGGCAAGAAATATTTTTATATTACAAATACACCAATACTCTTAGAGTTTCAATTCTTTTAGATTATACATAAATGTTCCCCTTAAAGTATACTCCTCTTCTAACATTTCAGTATTATTTTGTGCAAATGAACTGTTTATCTTCAGTGACTCAGTTTTGATGTGCAAAGAGTTTTTAATTTTTAATAATTGAATATTTTGTACTTAAAGGAGGACATTGTAAACATATATATATGTATTTATTTTCCAAATAAATCAGAGAACAGATGCACAGAAGTCGTTTCCTGTCTCAAGCAGTTGAAGATTCAGAGCCCACCAGAAATCAAAATTTTACAGATCTGCTAGCAGAACTACGGGCAGCACAGGTAAGGTACATAAGGATTTTAACCATTAGCAATAAAAGTGTGTTATAAAAATCCTTATGTGTGTAAAAAAGAAAAATTTGTTTTTGTAACTTATGAATAAATCTGCTTATAAATTTTATACCAATTAAAAACTAGGAAATACCTAAGATTAGCATTGACAAACCTGTGACCTCAGTATAGAGGAAACAATGTGATACTGGTTGTAGATGGCATCTTTTATTATCCAACCTCTTATCAGGCATTTATCATGTGGAACCTTGTTGGAGGCATAACCTTATTTAGGGAAGATCCCTTGGAGGAGGGCATGGCAACCCACTCCAGTATCCTTGCCTCCATGGACAGGAGCTTGAGGGGCTACAGTCCATAGCGTCGCCAAGAGTTGGGCATGACTGAAGTGACTGAGTATGCGTGCGTGTACATACCTAACTTCAAACAAACTCCTCTTTGAAAATGGAGGGCTGAAATAGGAAGACAATTTGAAAGTGATCATTCACCTTAAAAAGTGAGTTGACGTTTCCTCAGTCTTTAGGAAGACTAAATGGACTGTGCACTTATGAGGGGTGAGGCTATATCTGCAGGTATGTGTATCTGATATGCCTGACAGAGTGGTGAAATGCAGTATCTGCTATACATAATTTTTTTCTTTATTTTTACTGAATTGTACTAAAGCAGTGTTTACCAGTGGGAAAAGTTTGGGAATTTAGGGCAGATTATTTTTGTCTTAAGCAGAACAGTTATAGGCATTGCTTGATTTTTATCACTCCTGTCCCCAAGAACTATGCTTATAGCACCCACCAGTCACTGTAACACTCAAAACCACTGCCACAGACAGCTCCTGTGGAAGGGCAGTTAGCTTTCCCCACTCCCTCCTATTAAATACTTCCAATCTATTTCAACGATTATGCACATTAGAAAAATTCCAATTGCATATCACATTCTAATTAGAAATTTATTATATAAAGTTTGGCTACACAGAAATATAAACATACCATAGGTAAGTAGTTGATGTTTGACAGGTTTTAGTAATATATAAAGTGCAACTTCAAATATGAACCCATTAGAGAACTTCCTTAAGATGCATGTGGGTACAGATGATTAGGTAGGTAAGTAGATGAATAAACGATTGGACACCTTCACTTATCAGTGGGCCCCAAAAACTAGCAAGTTAAGAGAGAAATTGCTGTGGCTTATGAAGGCTTGGGAAGACATGATAGGGTTTCAACTACAGCATTAACTTCATTTGAAGGCTGTTATTAGTGACCTTTTAAAAGTGTGGTTTTGGACACATTTTTGAACAAGTGGTAAACCAAAACTTCCACTAAAATCACCAGAACATGCTGGCTAAAATATAATTAACATCTTGTAAATTATATAACCCTACTCTCAAGAAAGTAAAGTGAACTTCTGGGGTCAGAATAGAACAGACCTAGCAGTAAGCATTGCTCCTAGGCTGTCAGCCCAGTAACCACGAGTCTTGAGCTTGAACAGCAAAGTAGAGATAGGACCTCAGGACTTCACAGGGCCACATCCTTCAGTAAAACAGTGTTTTAGGGGTAAAAATGCACTTTCAGAAGGGACTGAAATGTCAAGAAAGCTTCTTTTTGTTAACTTGGTATCTATAGAAAGAGAGGGGGAAAAGATCTCGTCTTCTCAGTGCTTTATTGATTATTCAGTATAGATGTCATCCCTTCTCCTCTCATTTGTGTTTTAGTATTTGAATTGACACCACCTTCAAGGGTAGTGGGGCTTCCCTCATAGCTCAGTTGGTAAAAAGAATCCACCTGCAGTGCAGGAGATCCCAGTTTGATTCCTGGGTTGGGAAGATCCGCTGGAGAAGGGATAGGCTACCCACTCCAGTATTCTTGGGCTTCCCTTGTGGCTCAGTTGGTAAAGAATCTCCCTGCAGCACAGGAGACCTGGGTTCGATCCCTGGGTTGGAAATATCGCCTGGAGAAGGGAAAGGCAATCCACTCTAGTATTCTGGTCTAGAGAATTCCATGGACTATACAGTCCATGGGGTCGCAAAGAGTAGGACATGACTAGGGGACTTTCACTTTCAAGGGTGGGTCATGCTCAATCTGGAAAAAACAAAAAAACATAAAATGTGATCTTCAGTCAGCGGTCATCTTAAGTGTGTCTGAAGAAACATGTGCAAAACACTTTTAAGGGTGTCTTCTCTTAACTCAGTTCACACAGTATTCCTTCAGATTAAATCATGTTGACAGTACACTTGTAATGCAGAATTACAAAATCCGGGGAAATAGCCCACCATGATTAAGCATGGGGTGACTTAATAAACAGGTTAAAACCCCAGTAGAATTATTGAGTAGACTATAAATTAAATAGATTTAAAATGATTAAATATATAGAATATGGAGAAGGAAATGGCAACCCACTCCAGTACTCTTGCCTGGAAAATTCCATGGACAGAGGAGCCTGGTAGGCTACAGTCCATGGGGTTGCAAAGAGTCGGACACGACTGAGCAACTTCACTTCAAAGATAAATAAGAGATAGTTTAATTTGGAAATGTACTGATATTCCTATTGGAAAATAATAATAAAATCAATGTTTTTTAAAAGGAAAAAAATATAGAATAAGGGAGAAATTCAATGTGAGGAAGGAACAAAACAGACCAGGGAAGTTCAGAGAAAAATAAAGGGAATAAGTAGAAAAGTTAAATAGATGATCAGATGTAACTAAGAAGAAATTAGTCAACTGGAAGATAGATCTAAGAAAACTTAGAGTGAAACACACAAAATAGAGAAATAGAAAATAACAGAAATAGGAGATGCTATAGTATGTAATTAAATATTTTTATAAAGTAATGGCCAAGAATTTTCTAGAAATTATAAAAGATGAATTCTCAAATTCAGGAAATATAGTGAGTCCTGCTCAGGATACATAAGTAAAAATCTACATCTAAGCCCATCGTGGTGAAAGTATCACAGGCAGGAACACCTTAAAAGAAATGTGTTAGTTGAAGATAAAAGTTATTTGGGGATGTAGTTAGTTGTGCAAATACCAAAAGATGGAATACCATTATGTGTTTATTTTCATTCACTCTGGTTTTCTGAGTTTAAATAGTTTTAGAGCAAAAATTCATACTGGAATAAATCTGTAGTATAATGTTCATGTCAAACCTACTTAAAAATTAAAACCCATTAGTGTAGTTGTAAAATATGAGCCGGTTCTTTGTAACCTATGCATGGGCACATACTGAAAACAAAGATCTTGAGCCCGTTGCTTCTAGTTTCCCAGGAGGAGGAGGCCGACTGCAGCCCAGCTGTCCCTTAGGAGCTCTTCTTGGCTGTGGAAAAACGCAGGTAAAGAAGACAGGCCTGTGCCTTGCTCACTAGAGCAGGTATTCAACCAGGGAAGACAGATAGTAAGTGAAAGAAATATGTGCTCATGGAGGTTCAGCTCTTTGAGAAAAACAAGAACAGAGACTGGCGGTAGGCAGGGCAGCGGTGAGGCAGCTCTCAGCAGTGTGGGTCAGCAAGTGAGGAGGCGCTCCTGAGAAAGTAGTGTCTGCATCAGGAGCTGAGGAGCAGCGGCCACTCACTGTGCAAAGACCGAGCCTTCCAGACAGGGGGACACGGTGCCTTGGAAGCCTCTGAGGAATGAGTGGGTGAGTGAGGACAGGGTGATGGGAGAGAGGGTCAGAGAGATAGGCAGAGGCCTCCGAGTGTCCCACAGTACATTCTTGAAGAAACTCGGCGCTCTGCTGAAAAGGCATCCACAGAAGATCCCACAAAAGATTAAACAGTGAAATGATGTCACTAAAACCACGGTTATATTAATACAAGGCCTTATGGGTGGATTTATTTTCTTTATGAGACTGGATTTTAAATTGTAGCGTGATACAGAGTTTCTAAGGATTTTCCTCTCGACACTGAACTATAAAGTGTACCGCCTTGAGCACGGGAGTTTCTCCAGCAGTTGTCAGCTGAGTGTGCACTTACTGATGCCTGCCATGTGCTTACTGCCAAACGTAAACGAGCAGTAAAATCAGCCTTGATGTCCCCAGAGGGCTCTCAGCCTAATGAAGAGAAAAGGCAGGTGATAAGATGAGTGTCACATGAAACAGTAATACGCGCTGGACTTCAGGTACACTGGAGGTGTGTGGGAATGCAGGGGTGGGGTTTCCCAGGAAGAGCTGCGCTTGAACTACACTATGAAAGGTAAACGTGACTGTCAAGGCTAGGAGCAAGGGCTGTTGAGTATGGCACGCACAGCACATTGAGAATTTAACTTGCTGTGTCAAGCATAGCTTTTGCCTTTGTGATACAAGGAAGAGAAATATAACGTTCTGCTTTCAAGTAAATATATAATATGTCAGGGGGTGATGAGCATGTGAGAGGAAAGTAAAGCTGTACACCCTGGGGCCAGGGTGGGGGTTGCTAGTTTCGAGTGACCAGACAAGGCCTTCCTGGGACCTCATTCGAGCAGAAATCCCGATAAACTGAAGCACGAGCCACTTTTCTATCTGAGGGCAGAGGGAGCACTAAGTGCCAATACCTTGGGGCAGGAACGTGCTGGGCGGGTTCAGAGAACAGCTGGGAGGTCTCTGCGGGCGGACAGTGGGAGGGGGCGATCTGCAGCCCACGCATCCGAGGAGTGGGCAAGGCTGGGTTCTGTGACACTGAAGGTCATGCTAAGAGCTGTAGGTTTCCCCTCAAAGAGGTGGGGGCCACAGAGAGTTTCAGACCAAGGAATGATATTAACTGACTCCTGAAGACAGTTCCTCTGGCTCCTGGGAGAACAGATTGTAGGTGCTGAGGGTGGAAGAGGCAGCCTGGTTAGGAGGGTGGAGAAACCCAGGAGCAGTAAGAAAAGAGATTGGAAGGGGCCTGGAAGCTGTATTCAGTGATGAGAACTGATTCTCGGAGGCTCTGAGGAGCTTGTATCACTGGAAGGGGAATGGTGATAAATCAAGCTGAAATTTAAGAAAAATAATTAGCAGTCTTTATGATGAATTGGGGACAGGAGGAGAAGGGGACGACAGAGGATGAGATGGCTGGATGGCATCACTGACATGCGTTTGAGTGGATTCCGGGAGTTGGTGATGGACAGGGAGGCCTGGCGTGCTGCGATTCATGGGGTCGCAAAGAGTCGGACACGACTGAGCGACTGAACTGAACTGATGATGAATTGGGTGAAAGAGACACTATTCTACAATTGATTGTGGTTGGAAATAATTTGCTTTTGTATTTTTATGACTATCAAGAAAGAAAAAAACAGTTTGTTGGAAGACATCAAAAGACTGAAGCAGGACAAACAAGCTCTTGAAGTAGACTTGGAAAAAGTGAAGAAAGAGAGAGACCAAGCCAAAGACCAGATTGCTTATGCTACAGGTAAAAGTCTGAGCTGAAATGGTTTACCTTTATACTCCTAACTGTTCTCATCTTGAGTTAAGTAATAACAGTTGAATAGTATAATCAAAATGCTATTCCTTGAAGTGTATTATAATTTTAGAAGCTTTTAAAATATTAGCTATTAATAGGTATGTGCAAACACATCCCTGATTACAAGATCAAAGAAAATCATGGATTATTTTGAATTTGTGGTATCACATACTTAGTTGTTTATAGTCATCTCAGGTAGACTGTGACTTTTCAGGGTATAGTCCCTCTTTTTATCTCTGAGTCTGAAACATAATGCTCTCATTGCAGTTCAGTCGCTTAGTCATGTCCGACTCTTTGCGACCCCATGAATCAGAGCACACCAGGCCTCCCTGTCCATCACTAACTCCCAGAGTTTACTCAAACTCATGCCCATTGAGTCGGTGATGCCATCCAGCCATCTCATCCTCTGTCGTCCCCTTCTCCTCCTGCCCCCAATCCCTCCCAGCATCAGGGTCTTTTCCAATGAGTCAGCTCTTCGCATGAGGTGGCCAAAGTATTGGAGTTTCAGCTTCAGCATCAGTCCTTCCAATGAACACCCAGGACTGATCTCCTTTAGGATGGACTGGTTGGATCTCCTTGCAGTCCAACAAGTATTTGCCAAGTGAACAAGTAACATTGTACTATGTTGTAGAAAACACAAAGATGGATATGGCATACCTCACCAGGGAAAACAGAGGAGAGTAAAATAAGAAAGCAGAAAAGTTTAATATTAAAAAAATTAGAAATAAACATGAGGATGCTAATGAGGATTTTAGAGAAGAATGGCATTTGAGCTGGGTCCTGACAGAGAACGTCATAGTTAAAGAAACGGAGAAGCCCAGAATCTGACATTTATTTTCATAGAAATGACTTTACTTTTATAATGAAAGTCATTGGAAAAACTATTAATCAAGAATTTCTAGATGCCAGCTTTGCTGCAAGTTTGATGATGTGGACTATGAACACAGTCTTCATCCTGCTTCACTAATACACTAAAGTGGACACAACCTTACAAAAAAACAAGTTTTTTGCCTCTTAATAGCACTTTCATTAGAGAGGCATTGGTTTTCATTCAAAATGTTTTAATTTAGTTTATTTCCACATTTTGAAAAATTATTATCGAGTTATTGAATTACTTGATCTTATAGGTGAAAAATTATATGAAATAAAAATTATAGAAGAAACCCATAAACAAGAAATCAGTCGTCTGCAAAAAAGATTACAGTGGTATGCTGAAAATCAGGAACTTCTAGATAAAGATGCAGTTCGGCTTAAAGAAGCAAATGAAGAAATTGAGAAGCTGAAACTTGAGGTAACAGATCAGTTCAGAATGTGTTTCTATAGATGAACCCTTTTATCCTCAACACTCCTTCATAGGCCTGTGTCATTGAGTCAGTATACTTGAAATTCTGTTAATTACAGTGGTTGGGTTGACTTTGGTTTGTATTTATTTGTGTAGTCTATTTTAGATTAAACTGAGAATACAGGGAGCTCTCTGTATCCACAAGTTCCCTATCCAGCAGATTAAACCAACCCTGGATTAAAAATAATCAGAAAAAACAGAATGTCAAAAAGCAGAATTTGCTATGCAATGGCAACTATTTTCATAGCATTTACATTGTTTTAGGTATTATAAATAATCTAGAGATGATTTAAAGTATAAAGGAAAAAAGTGAAAGTTGCTCAGTCATGTCTGACTCTTTGTGACCCCATGGACTGTATGTGGCCCGCCAGGCTCCTCTGTCCATGGAATTCTCCAGGCAAAAGTACTGGAGTTTGCCATTTCTTTCTTCAAGGGACCTTCTCGACCCAGGGATCGAACCCGAATCTCCTGCATTGTGGGCGGATTCTTTACTATCTGAGCTACCAGGGAAGCCCAGTGTAGAGATGATTTAAAGTATACAGGAGTTACATGCAAATTCTACACCATTTCATACAAGGGGCTTGAGCATCCTTGGATGTTAGTATCTGTGGAGTTTGGGAACCAGTGCCCGGCCCACCCCCTCCCGTTACCAAGGCATGGTTATAAATCCAAGCTCCTTACCACAGCCTGTGAGGTTCCCACGTGGTCTAAACGCGCCCTGCCTCTCCAGCCCCGTCTGTAATGCCCTTCCCCAGTCACGCTCCTCCAAGCACAGCCGACCTCCCTCTGGTTCCTGAGCATGCTGAGCCCAGGCCACTGGTCACTTTGGCCTGAAGTGGCCAGGCCTGCATCCTTCCTATGTCTCTTCGTTTGTTTCAGCTCTGATTTCTCCTCCCCAGAAGGATTTTCCTGACCTCTTTATCTAATGTAGCTACCAGTCCTGCTCCCCTCTGACTGTTTCTTTCTCATTCTTTCACTTTATTTTCTTTGTAGTACTTGTCATGCTCAGAAGTTACTTATTTACTTCATCAGCTCATCAGAGCTCTCCTTCCATTAGGACATAAGCCCCATGAAAGCAGGGGTCTGGCTTGTCTTATTTGCTCTCTCTGTCTCTAGCACAGCGCCCTAAAATGAACTCCCATCATGCTTCCCTCTTGAGGTCTGCTGTGTTTCAAGTGTATGTTTCTTAACATCGTCTTTCCTTATTGTTAGGTTGAGAAGCTGAAAGCTGAATCTGGAAATCCATCCATCCAGCAGAAGATGCGTTTAAAAGAAAAAGCAGCTGATACCAAAAAAATTCAGGATCTAGAGCGACAGGTATGTGTTCAGGGTAAATTTTCATTAAGATATTTTATATACAGTGCATTTTTGTTTTTTGTTTTTGAAGTTCCTATACGATGTAGTCAACTGGCAAGCTTTTGGTGTTATTCATTCATTTTAATATAGAACTGCCTCTGCTTTCAACTTTGAATACAATATTCAAAGTAACAATAAAAGCAGGAAACAATCATTTTATATAATCTGTGATTCTATGAATAAAGAAATTTTTAGAGTCACGTGTCTCATTAGGTGGTAGACCTACTGATGGAAGGTTGTTTGCATCCCAACTCTATTTGACATACAGAAAGAAAGAAACAGAGCTTTGACACTCTGGGTGTAAAGCTAGGATCTTTTCTCCTGAAGGATAGGTGAGAGAGGAGGCCGGGTAGGAGACCCTCCAGTTGGTAGTGTGTTCGTAGCGCTTGGGAAGTCTTGTGGGACAGTCTGGAAACCAAACATCCAACCTCCCAGAGAGCTGGCCACATTTTGAGCTCTTGCTCACACTATTTGTGTGTGTGCACACTCAGTTGTGTCCAACTCGTTGCAACCCTGTGGACCGTAGCCCACCAGGCTCCTCTGCCACTGTTTAGACTTAGAAATACTCATGTCATGGTCAGTGTGTCTGAGAGACTTTTTTCAAAAACTGTATAGTGACACTTATTAGGATAAAGTTTTTTCTTTTTCATTGAAGTAGTTATTTTGTAAGCAGGAATACTAATAAACTTTTTCCTTATGTTTTTACAACCTTCTGTAATGTAGTGTTTGTATTCATAACTAAATATTAAAACAAAATTAGAATTTCCAGCCCTGTTCATAAGGGCACATGATTCTACAGTTGTGACACTTAGATGTACAGCTATTATTCCATCACAGACCTGAAACTGTGAGGTCATCACTGGGCTGAATATTATCCCCATTTTAGAAGAAGAAGGAAAACTGGGCAAAAAATTAACTTCGCTAGTTTTACAGGACCTGTTAGATTAAAAGGTATGATTTGGTAGTTTGGTTCAGTGGCCACAGAAGGAAGAGGAAAGAGGTGGTTTGAAGAGCTAGAAATATTCTGAAATAACTATAGTCCAGGATTGTTTGACTTTTTTTTCCCCCAGTGCTTAAGACTTAGATTAGCCCATGTAGAAGCAGCCATCCAGAATTGCAGCGAAAGACCAAAGGAACCACTTCAGCACTAGACGACTTAATTTTAAGAGAATACTGTGGAACCAAACGTATAAGAGTAAAAAAATAAAACATGCTTAAAAACAAACTTAAGGTTTGAAATGGTGACCCATATTGACCAGAAATACGTTATAAAAGTAACCTCCCTCTTTTACTAGCACTTTCATTAAAAATTTATTGGTTTATTGGATTAGAGCTTTCTAAAATATTATTCATTAATATTTTGTAGTTTGCTACATGTGCATTTCAAATCCTATTCTCTTTCCATGAGCAGACGTTTCTATCCTAGTGATTGTAAGTCTTAATATATATTTTATAATCAAGGTATATCAATATATTCAGAATCATTTTGAGCTGTATTCTGAAATTATAGAATAAAACATCCTTTTTTCTAAATAGTACATAAGGAAAAGCGGGGCTAATTGTATGCATGTTAATAGTGAAAATTTCAGGTTATGTTCATTCATTCATGCTCTTATTTAATGATATATTCAGTAGTTTAATTTCCAGTGAGATTAAAAAAAAAAAAATTGTATGATAGAGCCACACTGATAACAGTGACCAAATAAAAATATTAAAAAACCAGATTAGAGAAGATAAAAATTAGTTTTCCACCAAAAATGTAGTATACGTTTTAAAATATCAAAATCAGATTGCAAACACGACTTAAAATTTAAATGAATATATTATAGACATGTTAAATCCATTTTTAAAAACTAGTTTCTTTTTTAATTTATTTTTTAGTTGAAGGATAATTGCTTTATATAATGTTGTTATTTTCTGCCAAATATGGTCTCTTTTTAATATACATGGAATGTATGTGTGTATGTATATATATATATATATATATACCTTTATATGCTTACATCTGATCTAGATTTTTAATACCAGAGGAAGCAAAACTGAAAATTTTGCAGATGAAATTACCAGTATTTGTATCTGGATATATTCCACTTGACATCTGTATACATCCATATTGATGTACATATCTGTGTACATTTATGAATGTGGAAGCAGTCTTCAGGAATGGAAATATTTGCTGTTAACTTTGCAAATGGTGTTACCTTTAGGTACCTACTAGGACTAATAGTCTAGAAACAGGATTTTGAGCAATCCATTTTGCCTTAGGAAAGGTGGTTTTTGAGACCAGATCATGATAAAACCATAATCAGGCCTTCATCACATGCTGGCCACTCTGCTAATCACTTCACTGAGATAAATGTCATCTTATCCTCACTTAATTGCATGAACACCATGAAATCAGTATTGTTTTCTTCCTGTTTTGCCAGTGAGGCAGAGATTTAGATGAGTGTAATAGGAAGTCACAAGATCTATTTCAAATAAATATAAGATGGTTTCTGTAAACTAATCAGTTAAATTAGACGTTATACTCTAGTGTTTTTTAATCAGATAATCTAGATTAGAAAATTTGAAATTTGTGCTACTGTACGTTTGATTTAGTCTTGAGATGTGATATAAACATCTTTGAAATCTAAACATGACTAATATAATCTAAATGTGTACATTAAACTGCTTAATTTTAATATATCTGTGACTTTAAATGCCTACTACAATATTTCACTAGGTTAAGGAAATGGAAGGAATTCTAAAGAGACGATACCCCAATTCTTTGCCAGCTTTAATACTGGCTGCATCAGCAGCTGGTGATATAGCAGATAGAAATACAGTGGAATTTATGGAAAAAAGGATAAAAAAACTAGAAGCTGATCTGGAGGGCAGAGATGAAGAAGCAAAGAAAAGCCTTCGTACCATGGAACAGCAGTTTCAGAAAATGAAGGTAAGTGCCAGGTTAGCCATGGAGGTGGGGCTCTGAGGTGCGCCATGGGAGTTAGAGCGTCTTAGAATGAGACAGAAGAGGATGTCTTGGGATGGGGCAGTGGGGAGCGGTGCAGAGACCAAATAGAGGAATGAATTCCAACCCCTCCGTTTTGATCTGTCTAAATTTTCCCAACTTTTTCCTTTTTCTAGTCCCTCTCTCATCCCACTTTTGCCCCTGCTCATATTTTGGCCACTTCTTCATTTCTGATTCCCAGTGCACATCAAGTGTTCATTTGCCTTTGCATGTGCTCTTCCTTCTGAAATAGCCCTGTTTCCACTTATCCCCAAATTTACACACACCTCTCAAGGCTAAACTTGAATGTGCTCTCTCGCTGCCATCTTCTCCCCTTCCCTCAAGGCCTCCAGACACACTTGGGTGCCTCATCCCCTCTGCCGTGTGTTCATAGGCCCGTTACCGCAGGACATTAAAACTTGCCATGTCACTCTTCTCACCAGGCTGTGAACTGTTGGAACGCAGGAACTGGATTTATCTGTAGGGTCTGATGCAGTGCTGGCAGTTGTAGCTCAATAAATCCTCATTGAATGAATGAGCGAAACCCTCCTCCCTCCTTGGCCTGGACTGTTAGGTTATGTTTGTTAATTTAGCTCCAGTGTGCAAATTCTAGTCTGACTTCAGTGAAATTTCTAAATTGATGTTAAGCCGTTGAAAATGTGCTATTTCTTATAGACGTCAGTATCCCCAACTGCTTTCCCTATTTATCCTCAGGGAGAATAGTTTGTCAGTTTGCATAGAGAGGGGTACACAGTAATGGTGAGACTTAAAGTGTAATTTAATGTTATGAAACAACATACAGCATTATGAAATTATATAACATAAATTGAGAATATGGAATGGAATGCCCATCAAAGATTAGGACTTCAACACACTTGACTGACTCATGGAGCATGGCCTTGGAGGCATCAGAATATATGGTGGGCCCCTGAATGTAGGAAAAGGCAGGGCCTGGGAGAGTTCAGGGCTTCGGTAACTAATGAAGCATTTAGCAGTGATCTGTTGTTGCATGGATTCTTTTCTGCAGATTCAGTATGAGCAGAGACTGGAGGAACAGGAGCAGTTACTTGCTTGCAAATTGAAGGAGGCAGCCCAGAACCAACAGGACAACTCCTCAAGGGCTAAAGCCCTGGAGAAGGAACTGGATGATGTTAAGGAAGCCCATCAAATCACCATAAGAAACCTTGAAGCTGAAATAGATGTCCTTAAACATCAGAATGCTGAATTGGAACTCAAGAAGACTGAGAAGGATGATAAAGATTTCCAGTCCATAGAGTTCCAGGTGGAACAGGCTCACTCTAAAGCTAAACTGGTCAGGCTCAATGAGGAGCTGGCTGCAAAGGGGAGAGAGATACAGGACCTTTCCAAAACCGTGGAGCGGCTTCAGAAGGAGAGGAGAAAGATGCTCTCTAACCAGCACCCTAGGGCTCGAGAGGAGATGACAGCCAAAAGGGTGAAGAAAGATGGTCTGCACCCTGGCAAAGGAAATGCTGACTCCTCCGGAACTCTGGAGGGCAAGCTTTACCAACCACATACTTTTACTGATTCCCACATTTCAGAGGTTTTACAAGAAAACTGCAGATTGAAAAATGAAGTGGCAAGGTTAACTGTGGAGGGGAATGAGCTGAAGATGAAATCTGAAGCTACAGTGAATCAATTTGAAAACACCATGAAAAGGTAAAAATAAGTGAACTTGTCAGTATGTAGAGACATAGAAAATTAAAAAATTTTAAGATGTATTTCCCCTGGGTAATTAGTTTGACCGTGAACTAAATTCACAAACCAAAATTTAAGAACCTGTATAACGTGGCATCTCCTTCTCCAGGAGATCTTCCCCAACCCCATGGATCAAACCTGGTTCTCCTGCATTGCAGGCAGATTCTTTACCATCTGAGCCACCAGGGAAGCCCCCTGAACCAAATACACAAACCAGATTTTAAGAACCTGTATAACATGGCTAAGTGTAGATCTGTTTGAGGGTTGGATCTCCTACCTGTTACAAGCCGAGAATCTGGTGAACTGGGATCTTCGTGTGAACCCCATCCTTCCTGTCCAGTCTTGTGTCTCTGCAGATATCCAGATGGTGTTAGTAAGCTGACCCATCTCTACAGATTTATGGTTGTGGTAGGCAGATGGCTGTCAGAAAACAGCTCTTGTTAAAACCAGTTGATATCCTAAGAGGAAACGGTGCTCTTTTCCAAAATAACTCTTCGAATTAATCTTGTGATCACATCTGTCCATGCCTTGAAGAACTTCTGTATCTTTCTTTCTCAGACTCTCCAAGACCTCCTCTGAGCCTTCTTAGAAGTGTACATCTTTTTCACCCAATCAGACCAAGCTCTGGTCCTCTTTCTGCCTTTCGGACCAGGTTTCCCACAGGCCGCCTCTCCTTGTGTTTCCCCGACTTCCTCTCGGCATGGTCCATGCTCACACTGCTGGCCCTGGTCTCTGGAGAAGGACGGTCCTGTCAGTGGGGTTTTCTGCATGGACACTGGAGACAGTGTCGCCTGCACTGCCTTTCCTGAAAAGCTTTCCTCCCTTCGTCTCCATGACGTGCCAGCTCTCACTAAAGCTCCTCTCCTGCTTTTAAGTGACTCCTGATTCCTGTTCATTCTTCTGCCTCAAAAATCTGACTTTGTTACAAAGTTTTTGGCTTTTGACTGTCTATTCTCTGATCCTTCTTCTTTGCTAAACTCATCCATTCTTTATGGCTTCTATGAACCTGACTCCTAGATTTTACTTTTCAAGTCTTATTTTATTCCCTGGGTTCAGATGTTACATCTGAAAATTTGTTGGATTGTTCCTCTTGGAATCAGTAGTATTTCAATTTTTTTTTTTCTCTATTTAACATGTAAAGTAAATCCCCCCTTCCAGCATCCCTGTCTCTGTCTGTGACCATACTTTTTCAATTTCCAGGCCCAGCTTTACCACCTTTATTCCTTGGATTGACAGTCTGTGGGGTGCTTCCTTATAAGTACTTATTTTGCTTTCTTCCTCCATTTATTAGTGTGGCCCGCTTGGTTTACTAGGCAGTTGGCCCACCCTGATCTCCCTGATTTCGTTTCTTTCTCCCCTGATCATCTTGCTTAAAAATCATTAATATTCTTTAGTATTCCTATGTCTGAGTCACTGTCCTCCTGTGACTCCCAACTTTCCTCAAACATCAGGACTAAATTTCTGTCCCTAGCATCTCAAGTCCCATCACTATTCTAATCCTGCTCTATCAGAGTTGTGTTACTTGCCAAGTTTCTTCCCTGCCTTTTGCTCATTCATGTTTCATTTTCTAGGAAAAATATTACCCAGAGCTTCTTAGAAATTTCCTGCTCCCACCTCCAACTCCTGTATAACTTATGTACCAAGAAAGCACTGTCATACACCACCTTACAGCTTCTTGAGAACTGATGTCAGATTATACTTTTGCAACTGTAGGCAATAATAGGTCTGAATATGAAGTTCAACATAAGGTTTAGAGTGTATAAAACATGTGTAATTTAATGTTTGTGAAGCAACATATTAATTGTGAAGTTATATAACATTGAGAATATATAATATTATGACCTTCAGAGATTAGAATTTCAGTACACTTGACTGGGGCTTCCCAGATGGCTCAGTAGTAGAGAATTCACCTGCCACTCTAGGAGACACAGGTTCGATCCCTGGGCTGGGATATGCCCTGGAGAAGGGAACAGAAACTGATTCCAGTGTTCTTGCCTGGGAAATCCCACAGACAGAGGAGCCTGGCCAGCTGTAATCCATGGGGTTACAAAGAGTTGGACACAAATAAACACACACACACACTTGACTAAATTAAGGAGCCCAGAGTTGGAAGCATCAGAATGAGTAGTGATTGCCTGAATGAAGGAAGAGATAGGACCTGGCAGAGTGCAGGGAGAAGTAGAAGCAGCACCTAACAAATGCTTATTGATTGATAGGCAGCCACGTCTGATTGAGCCATCACGGCAGTTAGATCACTTCCAAATTGAAACCTTGATTCTTTGTCCTGAATATGATAGTGGTAATGAAGCCGGTTGAAAAGAATGTGTTGTTCAGTCGCTCAGTCACGTCTGACTCTTCGTGACCCCAGGGACTGCAGCAGGCCAGGCTTCCCTGTCCTTCACCATCTCCTGGAGTTTGCTCAGATTCATGTCCATTGAGTCAATGATGGCATCCAACCATCTCATCCTTTGTCGTCCCCTTCTCCTCCTGCCCTCCGTCTTTCCCAGTATCAGGGTCTTTTCCAATGAGTCAGCTCTTCGCATAAGGTGGCCAAAGTATTGGAGCTTCAGTATCAGTCCTTCCAATGAATATTCAGGGTTGATTTCTTTTAGGATTGACTGGTTTGATTTCCTTGCTGTCCAAGAGACTGAAGAGTCTTCTCCAGCACCACGGTTTGAAAGCATCAGTTCTTTGGCGCTCAGCCTTCTTTATGGTCCAACTGTCACATCTATACAGGACTACTGGAAAAACCATAGCTTTGACTATCTGGACCTTTTTGACGTCTCCAAAAATAATTTAAAATTCAGATTTTCCTGTGAATTTTCCTAGACACAATTTTTTAGTGTTGTTAGTCTGTTTCTGAGACAGCTCTGAACCGGAGATGTGAAAACTAACCTTTCTTCTTTTGGCTGTTTTTTACTATGGTTCAGTTATATCATGGGTACTTTAGACTTTTATGCTTGTCCTAGGACCCTAATAACACTGTTTCAGTGAAGAAGTATTCATATAGTCAAATAAGCAACTGATATGTTTGTTTATAGTTTGGGAATTGCCATATTATCAACAGTGATTGCTAAATGTCTGCTTTCAATAAAATTGTGTCATTTTTAAATAATTTTTCCAACAAGAGAGGAAATGTTTATCTGTAGAAATGTCCCGCTTTTTAGTCATAACTTTACCATTTACTGAACTGCTGCTGAATGCATAAATTTTGTCACAGAGACAAATGAGCAGTCCCTCACATTTAATGGTCCAGTTAGGTTCAGACTACCTTACGTCCTGAGAATTACCATAAAGATCATTTTATTCTCAAAACCTGGAGCTAGCCCTGAAGTTATGCATGGGCCGAAAACTGGTGAGTGTTGCCTAGAGACAGAGCATTTGAGGATCTAAAGAATTGGGGCAATAAATATGAGTTTATCTTAAAAGGTAAAATAACAAGCTCTTTACCTTAAATCCAGACAACATTTACAGCCTTTGTTTCTCTCAAAGTGCCCCAGTCTGCTGGTGGTATCTGGCTCTGCTAGGCTCAAACGCCAGCTCTACAATTTACTGACCTAGGACCCCAGATATATCACTCTTTCCTACACTCAAGTTTGCCTTTATAAAATTGAGTAAATGGAGCTCATGGAGTGGCTGTAAGAATTCCTAGGCAGTAATGTCTAAAGCGCCGAGCACAGCGCAGTAGATGCTGGTGCCTTCTCTCCGTCTGCTTCTTTAATCTCCTGGCTTCTTATACTGTTTATAAGCTAACTGAATTACAGGTTGAAGAACCACTTTTGTGTGTGGTTTTCTTTACTTTGCTCTAAAGGTTCAAGGAAGAAACTGCAGCACACATCACATCTCTCAAAGCATCTCATCAGAGGGAAGTAGAGAAACTCCTTTGCCAAAATGCAGTTGAAAATTCTTCTTCCAAAGTAGCTGCACTAAATCGTAAAATAGCAACTCAGGAGGTAGGTGACTTTAATAAACTTTGACTGTAATGTGATTTTTTTTTCCCCAAGATGGTTGCCAAAGTATCTGGAAGTACTTAACTTCACTGCTTAAGGTTGGTGATAGAAATGAGAAATTATCGTTGCTTTTTTTTTTTTTAATAGGAGTTGACACCCTTACCATACATGTGTTTAACTATTCAGCTTTACTGTTATACATCTTAATAAGTGTTTTTGCAATTTTGTCCCTATATTTCTCAAATAGTCCTTCTCCTAAGTAGGTTGTAATAGGTGGTTCAGGGATAAATTGAATATGACTAGGACCTTAGCACTTGAACCTGTGTTGAACCATCTCCCTTCACCCCAAGTCCAAACTGACAAGTCACTCTTCTTTCCTGTTTTTCATTAAATAAATAATGTTTCCTAGCCATTCAGGCTGGGGGGATAAAGTAGTGAACAGAGACGTGTACACACGTCTAGTCAATACGAAGCACAGTCATCTGAGAATCATGGCGGGGCGTATTGACAGCTCATCTGCATTTCCTCACGTGTGTCGTCCTTCTTGGATAGCATATATGTCAGCTGTAACATTTACCAGTGTCAGCTGTGTGGCGTGTCTTCTGTGGCTTTTACAAGTTGAAAAAAAAATCATTAAAAGAGAACTTTCGACTTACTCTCAAATGACGTATCTAAGAAAAAAGAAAAGAAAGCAAATATGGCAAAACATTAGCAGTGAGTAATTCAAGTTGAAGAGTATATGAATGTTCCATGTGCTCTTCATCTTTTTTGTAGGTTTTAATTTTAAAAACCAAGTTGGGTAGAGGGGGGATCTTCAAGAAATAATTCTCTCATGACCACCTCTCCCACCCATAATAATTTAACAGCATCTTAATTAAAAAGAAATCCATCAGTTGTGGAAGTTTGAACATGGACAAAATATGAGATATGAAATTATTGTAAATTTTCTTATATGTAAAAACATTGTTATTAGATTCAGGCAATTTTAAAATAGGATCCTTTTAATTTTTTTAATACATACAAAGGTCATTAGTTCACTTTCCTATATTTTTCAAATGTTCATGGAAAACCTTGACTAACTCAGCACTGCTAACATTATTTCCTAGGTACTTTTAAAACATTTTCAAAACCAAGTCACCGAGCTGCAGAGTAAACAAGAGTCTCTTGTCATTTCTCAAGTTCGAGAGGAAATCCTACAGAAAGAGGTAAGAAGTAACCAAAATATTGGGCTGACGTAAGCTTCTTAGCCATTTCAGTCATATAGTCCTGCATAATTTTTTAATTTAAGTGTACAAATGGAGATAACTCAGAAATGACTGTCCTGTCAAGAAAATATTACTATTTCCCCAGATGAAGCTCAAATAGCAATTAAATTATTTATGTTCGTATTTGTTAAGATTTTCTGGGGAGTGGGGAAATGGGGCAGATTTGGTTTGGTTGTTTTGATTTTTTAGGAGGTAAAATTGTATAATGAAGGCCATTTCTGTAATAAGTAGTAACACTATTTAGTTAAGAAAAAGGTAAGTAAATTATTATGACAGTATTGCTGGATCATCAGGAACAATACCATTGCAGGAAATAGATCTTTCTGGAAGTTCACCATTTTGATTACTCTGAGATCCTTTTGATTCTAGAAAGTGAAAAATCAAATAAACTGTGCATTCTATTCTTTGAAGCTTATACATCATTTTTTTTATTATTCAGGGGCTTATTAAATCACATGATAAAAGTGAAACATACAACTAAATTGCATCATGGAAAGATTAATGTAAAATACTGCACAGTCACGTAACTATCCACTTAAACATCTTGTTCTTAGAGTTGAAGGACCATAGTTGAACACTGTGCATACTTTTCACTGTTGAAAATATACATAAACTTTGTTGTTTAAGTAATAAACGTACAGAACCTCACAGACCTGAAGTAAAATTTTTAGGAAAACAGTGAAAAGAAATAGATGTTCATGTTTGCTGAATGAAGATCAGTTTTGGTCAAGTTCCTATATTCTTAGTTTGGGAATAGCTGAATATTTTTAAAATAGAAAAGCTGTTTAACACATGATTTCCAAGCCTGTGTAACTAGAGGACTAAGGAAATCACTTCATTTCTTGAATAAAGCTAGTGACAATCCGCCTTTTGATATGGACTGTACTTATAATAGCTGTTTTAACAGGGCTTATTTATTCCCACCACTGATAACCCTCTAAAGGTCCTCTCTGATGGCATGTGTGTTATGAACCATTTCATCTCAGGCCAGTGGGAATATGAACCATTCCTAGCCTGTATCAGCTCCAGGGATTATTCAGATTACTGTTTCTAGTGACTCCAAAATTGCCTTTAGCCAACACACTAGGTCGCCATAGAGCTCATCTTGTTTGTTTCCCTTCTCTCATGAATTATAGAGAGTGCTGTTAACCAGTGCTTGAAAAGAGTTGTGTCTTATATTGACTGGTTTCTCTGCTTGTTTAAGAAATGTGTTGCTGACGCTTACTACACCATGGCCTCGAGTGAAAGCACACTGTGTATGATATCAAAAATGGTGAATTCCATTTTTTGACTGCTTGTTTTTTTTTAGTGTTTTCTTCCCGTGTTTTTTTTTTTTTATTTTTTATTAGTTGGAGGCTAATTACTTTACAATATTGTAGTGGTTTTTGCCATACATTGACATGAATCAGCCATGGATTTACATGTGTTCCCCATCCTTATCCCCCCTCCCACCTCCCTCCCCATCCCTTCCCTCTGGGTCTTCCCAGTGCACCAGCCCTGAGCATTTGTCTCATGCATCCAACCTGGACTGGTGATCTGTTTCACCCTTGATACTATACATGTTTCAATGCTATTCTCTCAGATCATCCCACCCTTGCCTTCTTCCATAAAGTCCAAAAGTCTGTTCTAAACATCAGTGTCTCTTTTTCTGTCTTGCATATAGGGTTATCATTACCATCTTTCTAAATTCCATATATATGCGTTAGTATACTGTATTGGTGTTTATCTTTCTGGCTTACTTCACTCTGTATAATGGGCTCCAGTTTCTTCCATCTCATTAGAACTGATTCAAATGTATTCTATTTAATGGCTGAGTAATATTCCATGGTGTGTATGTACCACAGGTTCCTTATCCATTCATCTGCTGATGGGCATCTAGGTTGCTTCCATGTCCTGGCTATTATAAACAGTGCTGCGATGAACATTGGGGTGCACATGTCTCCTTCAGTTCTGGTTTCCTCAGTGTGTATGCCCAGCAGTGGGATTTGCTGGGTCATATGGCAGTTCTATTTCCAGCTTTTTAAGGAATCTCCACACTGTTTTCCATAGTGGCTGTACTAGTTTGCATTCCCACCAACAGTGTAAGAGGGTTCCCTTTTCTCCACACCCTCTCCAGCATTTATTGCTTGTAGACTTTTGGATAGCAGCCATCCTGACTGGCGTGTAATGGTACCTCATTATGGTTTTGATTTGCATTTCTCTGATAATGAGAGATGTTAAGCATCTTTTCATGTGTTTGTTAGCCATATGTATGTCTTCCTTGGAGAAATGTCTGTTTAGTTCTTTGGCCCATTTTTTGATTGGGTCATTTATTTTTCTGGAATTCAGCTGCAGGAGTTGCTTGTATTTTTTTGAGATTAATCCTTTGTCTGTTGCTTCGTTTGCTATTATTTTCTCCCAATCTGAGGATTGTCTTTTCACCTTGCTTATAGTTTCCTTTGTTGTGCAAAAGCTTTTAAGTTTCATTAGGTCCCATTTGTTTATTTTTGCTTTTCTTTCCACTATTCTGGGAGGTGGGTCATAGAGGATCCTGCTGTGATTTATGTCGGAGAGTGTTTTGCCTATGTTCTCCTCTAGGAGTTTTATAGTTTCTGGTCTTTCATTTAGATCTTTAATCCATTTTGAGTTTATTTTTGTGTATGGTGTTAGAAAGTGTTCTAGTTTCATTCTTTTACAAGTGGTTGACCAGTTTTCCCAGCACCACTTCCTAAAGAGGTTGTCTTTTTTCCATTGTATATTCTTGCCTCCTTTGTCTAAGATAAGGTGTCCATAGGTACGTGGATTTATCTCTGGGCTTTCTATTCTGTTCCATTGATCTATATTTCTGTCTTTGTGCCGGTACCATACTGTCTTGATGACTGTGGCTTTGTAGTAGAGTCTGAAGTCAGGCAGGTTGGTTCCTCCAGTTCCATTCTTCTTTCTCAGGATTACTTTGGCTATTTGAGGTTTTTTGTATTTCCATACAAATTGTGAAATTATTTGTTCTAGTTCTGTGAAAAATACCGTTGGTAGCTTAATAGGGATTGCATTGAATCTGTAGATTGCTGTGGGTAGTATAGTCATTTTGACAATATTGATTCTTCCAATCTATGAACACAGTATATTTCTCCATATACTTGTGTTCTCTTTGATTTCTTTCATCCGTGTTTTATAGTTTTCTATGTATAGGTCTTTTGTTTCTTTAGGTAGATTTATTCCTAAGTATTTTATTCTTTTCGTTGCAATGGTGAATGGTATTGTTCCCTTAATTTTTCTTTCTGTTTTCTTATTGTTAGTGTATAGGAATGCAAGGGATTTCTGTGTGTTAATTTTATATCCTGCAACTCTACTATATTCATTGATTGGCTCTAGTAATTTTCTGGTAGAGTCTTTAGGGTTTTCTATGTAGAGGATCGTGTCATCTGCAAACAGAGTTTTACTTCTTTTCCTGTCTGAATTCCTTTTATTTCTTTTTCTGCTCTGATCTGTGGCCAAAACTTCCAAAACTATTTTGAATAGTAGTGGTGAGAGTGGGCACCCTTGTCTTGTTCTTGCCTTTAGGGGAAATGCTTTCAATTTTTCTCCATTGAGGATAATGTTTGCTGTGGGTTTGTCATATATATATAGCTTTTATTATGTTGAGGTATGTTCCTTCTTTTCCTGCTTTCTGGAGAGTTTTTATCATAAATGGATGTTGAATTTTGTCAAAGGCTTTTTCTGCATCTATTGAGATAATCATGTTTTTTTTCTTTCAATTTGTTATTTTGGTGTATTACATTGATTTGTGGATATTAAAGAATCCTTGCATTCCTGGGATAAAGCCCACTTGGTCATGATGTATGATCTTTTTAATATGTTGTTGGATTCTGTTTACTAGAATTTTGTTGAGGATTTCTGCATCTATGTTCATCTTTGATATTGGCCTGTAGTTTTCTTTTTTTGTGGCATCTTCGTCTGGTTTTGGTATATGGGTGATGGTGGCCTCATAGAATGAGTTTGGAAGTTTACCTTCTGAAATTTTCTGGAAGAGTTTGAGTAAGATAGGTGTTAACTCTTCTCTAAATTTTTGGTAGAATTCAGCTGTGAAGCCATCTGGTCCTGGGCTTTTGTTTCCTCGAAGATTTCTGATTACAGTTTCGATTTCCTTGCTTGTGATGGGTCTGTTAAGATCTTCTATTTCTTCCTGGTTCAGTTTTGGAAAGTTATACTTTTCTAAGAATTTGTCCATTTCTTCCAAGTTGTCCATTTTATTGGCATAGAGCTGCTGGTAGTAGTCTCTTATGGTCCTTTGTATTTCAGTGTTGTCTGTTGTGATCTCTCCAGTTTCGTTTCTAATTTTGTTAATTTGGTTTTTCTCCCTTTGTTTCTTGATGAGTCTGGCTAATGGTTTGTCCATTTTATTTATCTTTTCAAGAAACCAGCTTCTAGCTTTGTTGATTTTTGCTATGGTCTCTTTTCCTTTGCATTTATTTCTGCCCTAATTTTTAATATTTATTTCCTTTTACTAACCCTGGGGTTCTTCATTTCTTCCTTCTCTGATTGCTTTAGGTGTAGAGTTAGGTTATTTATTTGACTTCTTTCTTGTTTCTTGAGGTAAGCCTGTAATGCTATGAACCTTCCCCTTAGCACTGCTTGTACAGTGTTCCATAGGTTTTGGGTTGTTGTGTTTTCATTTTCATTTGTTTCTGTGCATATTTTGATTTCTTTTTTGATTTCTTCTATGATTTGTTGGTTATTCAGAAGCGTGTTATTTAGCCTCCATATGTTTGAATTTTTAATAGTTTTTTTCCTGTAATCAAGATCTAATCTTACTGCATTGTGGTCAGAAAAGATGACTGGAATGATTTCAGTTTTTTTGAATTTACCAAGGCTAGATTTATGGCCCAGGATGTGATCTGTTCTGGAGAAGGTTCTGTGTGCACTTGAGAAAAAGGTGAAATTGATTGTTTTGGGGTGAAATG